TTGGTGAAGGCCTGGTAATTTGGTATTTTGCCCAATGAAAAGCCTCCACGTTCAGTAGTTACTCGTACATTTCACACATAGTTAAACGCGAAGGTCGTTGTATGCATTCCCGTGCCACATATAGATAGCCTCTGTGTAAGGTTTACACGTCTTTATACTTCACACCTGCACACTTTGGGGAATGCGCGCAGGACAAATTAGAGAGATCTTAGAATTAAATCAATATGAGACAATAGAAGACTTGCAATGTTCAATCAGATGCCTTTCATTGCATTTTTTGTATCTGCCGCTTTAACACAATGAGACACAGCTACTGCTGCTATATTCGTTTATACTCGGAAATGTCATTTCAATATTTAGAATATTTTTTTGACGTTTGAATGTCACCAAAATAGGGTGAAATGTGAAATGCCATACGTCCGTGCCATGGTGCCATACGAAGCGTTCCACCAAATGTCGCCTTCATTGACAACAATCAAAATATCAGTTAAAAAAAGCCGATGATAATATACATTTCAAATTCCAAAACAACTGAATTAATTCAATACGAACGAATGAATAAAATAATGTGGCACGCACGTAATGTCTTTTTTGTCGCAAGTTTGTGAATGCAATTGGATGTGGTTACAGTGAACGAAAGAACATGTATACTCTTTGGTTCTTTCGGTAAAGTCACTTAAGTATAACATATTTTAGTTTAATATTTTATTTTATACCTACAGCAAAGCCCTGTCGGGGATTTGAAGGAGGTAATTAGAAATGGTATTCATACTCTTTGGTTCTTTCGGTAAAGTCACGTAGGTAGAAAAATAAAACAAAGCAAAAAATAATATATCAAGACGTTTTGATCGCAACACAAAGCGGTCATCCTCAGGCGGAAAAAAATAATCCAGCAGTGGAACTGCCTGAGGACGACCGCTTGTGTTGCGATCAAAACGTCGCGATGTTATTTTTCGTTTTATTTTCTTTTTCTACCTACGTGACTTTACCGAAAGAGCCAAAGAGTAGGGATTCCTGCAGTCACGAAATCTTCAAATCACGAATGAACGTGGTTCCATTTGGGCAACCGCGGCTTTGAACTGGGATTCACTCCGCGTTGAGCAGACGCCGACCCCGACTCTCGTTCGCTCGAGCGAATCCACCACGCGCTGCTGCTGTTTCTTGCTGTTTGTTGCTGGTGTCGTGCGACGCTCGGGGGGCCTCCGCGTAGCTTGAGCACCTTGGTATATGCCCCAGGGCAGGCTTCCAGCCGAGGATAGACGAGGATCGAGCGTGGATTTTCTCTGGGTACGTGCATAGAATTCTAACAAAGACAAAGATCCCCCATAACGCGACGACACACTGTTGGGGGCAAGTGCCGTTTAGCGAGCAGCTATGAAGGTCGGCACGGCGCACGAGGTGGTGGGTGGGTCAGCGCCACGCCCGGCCGCCTTTGTCTCCCCAGTGGCGAGGCCCAGGACCAGTTCAGATAATTGCCACTGGTGTTGGCCGTGAGCGGGAATTGAACTCGGGTAGCCCGGGTTCGGAGTGCAGTGAACTGACCGCTCATGAATGGAATCGGCCAAACAATCCCTAAGTATGATCCTCGTGAAAAACAAAACACAAATACGTGACGCTTGTTGAGGCTATTTAAAAAAATGAATTTTTACTATCGTTTGTGTTATCATCACAACTGTGTTTCGTGTATGACAGGCTGAACGCACACAGGCAGTGTCGGATGTAGTGTTGGGGGACATTCAAACAGAACATTGGGCCTTCGTAAAGTTGAGCAACAGCGCCACCTCGTGGACACAATACAACGATTAGTTGAACACGGAGTGGGCGTTCGCGAACAATATTATACATAAGAGGTTTTTGGGTTAGATCGCGTAAATATAAATGCGTCGTTAAACCCGCCAGCACCCGACACAGCCAATTAGTAAGGTTTGTCACGTATTCAAAACGTTTACAGAGTAAATCGGGCTTTGTCCAATGGAGCTAAGAGTAAACCCACAACATTTACAATTCGAATACAAATGATAAATGTTGTGGGTTTACTCTTCAACACATCGATGTTTTTGTACTAGTAACGAACTGACACGTTTTGTATACGTGACAAGGGGACGGACCCAGGATTTTGACTTTATGGGGGCTGACTTCAATATTCTGAGATATCCAGTGTATGTTTTCCAATGGGCGCCACAAATGTATACAACTAACTTTATTGGATTTGAACGCGGAGTTTATTAATAGGTCGGAGCCGCTGATGTGGCTAATTAGTTCGATAAGTTCGAAAGGCTGCCGCTCAAGCAGCCTGCAGGGCAGCACACAAGGTGACAGCCTGCAGGGCAGCACACAAGGTGGCAGCACAAGGTGGCAGCCTGCAGGGCAGCACACAAGGTGGCAGCCTGCAGGGCAGCACACAAGGTGGCAGCCTGCAGGGCAGCACGAGGTGGCAGCCTGCAGGGCAGCACACAAGGTGGCAGCCTGCAGGGCAGCACACAAGGTGGCAGCCTGCAGGGCAGCACACAAGGTGGCAGCCTGCAGGGCAGCACAAGGTGGCAGCACGAGGTGGCAGCCTGCAGGGCAGCACAAGGTGGCAGCACGAGGTGCCAGCACAAGGTGACAGCACAAGGTGGCAGCCTGCATGGCAGCACGAGGTGACAGCACGAGGTGGCAGCCTGCATGGCAGCACGAGGTGACAGCACAAGGTGGCAGCACAAGGTGGCAGCCTGCAGCATTTTGCAGCAGCCGGATATCCGGTTATCCCGATTACCGACTTTCCCAAAATTTCAGGGGGGGCTAAGCCCCACCAGCCCCCCCCCCCTGTGGCTCCGCCCCTCTACGTGACAAACTTTACTAATTGGCTGTGTCGGGTGGTGGAGGGTTTAACGACATTCATATTTACACGATCTAACCCAATAACTTCTATTATGCCTATCAATAATTGGCACTGCCATACCTGTAAACCCATACGGTTTACCCATATTCTTGCCCAGGGAAATTTAGTTTTCAGATCCATACGGCGTATAGCCGTTTCAATCCGGGCAACATTTTTTAAAAATCTATTTGTTTGTGTTTCTTCCTTGTGATGGGACTTTGTAGAATGAACGTTGAGATGTACAAGGGCACGGGGTTGTTGTGAATGACCTCTGAAAACATGGTGTTCTAATAAAAAAAAAACTCGTCATGTTATTGGCCTTCCCGGAGAAGGTAATCTTATCTACCAACGATAGACATTTACAAAAAAATACGAAACAAAACTACAAAGCACTCAAATGCCGTCCCCATGGCCCTCAAGTCCACACTACACACCTTCTTTGACACTGCCAAAAGCCGTGACCTCACGCCGTGACATCGTCTCATTACAGCCACGGGCGCCTTTCTCACCGCCCTGAATGGGTCTCAGACGGCGTGGCCAAAATGCGAAGCGAATCGGAACGAACGAAGGGAAATATATCACTCGAACGCCTGCACAGCCGCCAAGAGACTTCCCCGAGGCACAAATGTGAACAACTTAAAATGTTATCTTCATTAGGCAATTCACGTCGAAAGAATAATTATAATGAACTTTTTTTTAAACGCAACAAAAATATTTATAAAAAAAGTTTTTTTTCAATTAGAAAAATAATTTCTCATCTCCAGCTGCTTGATTGGGGCGGTGCCCCAACGTCCCCAGTGGACGAACTGCGCCTGTTGATCAGTCTTGTATCTGTATACAACGGCGCCGCCGCTGATGACTGCTGTGCAGTGCCCTCTCGCGGACGCACGCGGACACAAGCGCAACCTCCACTTCGATCATTCTCTTGTGTCGCATGGCAGCAGCAACAGCAGCAATATTGGTCAGCAGCTGAAATACCAACGTCGAAAGTCTGTTGCTCGCCACGACGAGATGCCTTCAGCAAGGAGAGAGAGAGAGAGAGAGATATCGTGTCGTTTTGCTGTTCCTCCTCCAATAAAGCAACGCAGAAAACAGTGGTTTACGAAAAAAAACAACAATGGCATATGTAACGCGCCATATGTTTGCAGACAAGTCAAACACTCAGAGGAGCGGAGCCAAACTCAGGGCTCCTCGAACGCCTGACCCAAACAAGATTGAGATGTTTCTTAAAAGTCAAAAGTGCGTCCGATGTTGAGGATGTGCAAAGGGATGGAGCGTTCCACACCGAGGAGGCGACAACAGAGAACAGAGAACCGTCGATCATGGGGACCGTCGGCTCCATTTAACGTGGCCCGATGACAGAAACACGTTTAAAAGGATGAAGTTTCAGGCAATGACCCTTAAGCAGAGCAAAGGAGAGGTCAGAAAGATCGTCTGATTTATATTTGGAGATTTCGCTCTACGTTTGTGTTGCTGTGTGAAAACTGATTACTTCATACACGGGTATTTTTAATTTTGCGTGAGAATATTTGTATTGATTCATTGATACATGTATAACATACCGCCTGTGTTCACATATATGTTTAATAAAATAACGGCATCGACCGGAAAATCCCTTGAGATGGAACATGTTGCTTGCCAGGGCATCCAGGGCATTAATTGACACACACGCGGCAAACACGCAAAAGGTGCGTGTGCTGACACGCGTGTATTTGTATCCGGGTGCATGGCTTGCGTTTGTGTGCGTACGTGCGTTCTCGTTTCCAGCCCTCTTCTCTCACCGCCCCCCCTCCCCCCCCGGCTTGTGTGGCATTCAGAAACACGAGGCTTGCTCACGCTAGCGCTAACCGGGGCGGCCGTGCCAGGGGCTAGGAAGCCGGCTCTCCGGCAATCACCGTCACCCAGCGGCCCCCATCACCCAGCGGCCCCCATCACCCAGCGGCCCCCATCACCCAGCGGCCCCCATCACCCAGCGGGCCCCATCACCCAGCGGCCCCCATCACCCAGCAGCCCCCATCACCCAGCGGGCCACCATCACCAAGCGGGCTCCCATCACCCAGCGGGCCCCCATCACCCAGCGGCCCCCATCACCCAGCGGGCCCCCATCACCCAGCGGGCCCCCATCACCCAGCGGCCCCCATCACCCAGCGGCCCCCATCACCCAGCGGGCCCCCATCACCCAGCGGCCCCCATCACCCAGCGGCCCCCATCACCCAGCGGGGGAGCCGGGATCCAGCGGGAGACATTTATGGAGGCGTCTGGGAACGGAGAACCTGAGCGGACGAGCAAGAACACAGAAATGCAGGAGCTTTACGGATGTAAATATTTAAAATCTTGCTGACTTATAATCGGCTGATATGTATGGGTCTCAGGTGGATTCTTGAGGAAATTCACTGACTGACTGACTGGTTTCTCGTGGGGTCTCTAGGCACCAGGCTGACAGACCAGGCTCGTCGGAATGGGGTGTTTTGAATTGCAACTCTCCAACCGTGAGTTTTGAGCACCCAGTACCACCCCCCCCCCCCCCGGATCATCTCATCACCGTAACCCTAGGAAAGTGCTTCTTGACTCTGCATCAATGGGGTCTCAATCTTTTCATAGGGGACCTGCCCTGTGACCCTAAACAGCAGCCTCAGGGCAACCACATGGAGGGGGGGGGGGGGGGGGGGGGGGGAGTGAGAACAATGAGAGCGGAGCGCACCCTGGGAGAGATGTAGACCTGGAAGGGCTCCAGCTTCAGGACGATGGCCAGCTGGCCGGACAAGTCGGGCGGGCTACCCGCAGGCTGCAGGCGCAGCCGGCGCAGCACGTGGCCCAGGAAGAGGAAAATCTCGGCCTTGGCCAGACTCTCGCCCAGGCACACGCGCTTGCCCGCGCCGAACGGCAGCAGCAGCGACGCGGGGTTGCGCCTCTCCAGGGACTCGCCCAGGAAGCGCCCTGGGCGATGGACAACGTTGGGGGCATCGTCACGACCGTCATTGCCACGGCCGGCGTTGTCAGTGTCGCCGTCGACATGAGCTGCCTTTGGCATCGTTGTCACAGCCACCGTCGTGACCACTGGTGGAAGTTTTGCCTGATCGTCATCGCAATCCTCACCACCAGCACTACGTGCGTAGGCTTGGGAGTGGTGACCACGTGTCCTGTAATCCAGCAATGTGGAGGCAAGGGTTGATAATTTGCACTTGTTTGTGAAGCTCACAAAGGTTCTGGGGCTGTGAACAAGTTGATGGTACACAAATGGATTCTCGAATCCTGAGTGAAGCTCTGAGATGTGTTTTTTTTTCGTACGCATGGTGTTTCTCTTTCCACATGCAGTACCCACGCACATTAATGTAACTGGGCAAACATCCAAATTTCAGGAGCATTGTGGGAAAGTATGGAGGCTAAAGTTTAAACTTTCCATCGCCACCTTGTGAGCTGTGTTTGATGCGTCCTCTCTCACCTGGCTGGAAGACCGAGGGATTGTCCCAGTGAGCGTGGTCTCGATGAGCCGCCCACAGATTTGCTATGACCGTCGACCCTTTGCAGATGAAGAACCCTCCGACGCTGCACCAGGGCAAAGCAATGAACACCGTTGAATTTCGTTTATTTAGCGCCACGATTTGCACGTTGTGTCCGTAATAACAACGTGAACATGTTTTATATAAATATATAAATCTCTACGTTTTCCACCTGGGCTTCTGTTTCGGAAGCACGCTCATTGACGTAAAGACATAAACAAAAAACTGAAAAGTGCGCCAAGAAGCGCGGAAGAGATGCAAGGCAGCGCAACGAATGAGCATCCCCTCCACGCGCATTTTGCGCAGGAAATCACCGTGACTTGACCTTCAGAATTGAATTTTTTTTTAAGTACGCTTATAACGCAGTCAAGATTGTAGTCAAGTTCATTTTGTGGGTGGAAAAATTTAGTGTCAATCGAGCATGTGAACGTGGTTCTGTGGTGGTGGTGGTGGTGGTCATCATTAATATGACAGCTTAAAGGTCCATAATAAAGGTTTTTTGGTTAGATCGCGTAAGTAAAAATGTTGTGTCGTAACCCTCCACCACCCGACACAGCCAGGAAGGTGTCACGTGAACAAACAATTAGTTACGAAGGTGCTGCAAAAGCCATGGTACTCTCAGAAATTTGAGGAATTTGTCGCCAGCGATTGCCACTGGCAAGCATTAATTATTACCAACTAAGTACGGCAACTTTGGTATGACAATGGCGCAAAATGGTGGAGTTCTGTCCAGGCAGGGAGGATGAAGTTTGTCAAAAAGTACTGTAGTCTGTGTTGATGAATGACAATTTGTCTACAGAGCACACGACCCAGGGTGGTCACGTAACCTCTGCCCGCCATCTAAAGTTGACACCCCAGTTGACTTTCCAGGGGGCAGCTGCAGTCGGCAGAAGACGGCCACTTCCTGCCTGCGATGATTGCATTGAAATCTCCATCGCGTACCGTGGCCTTAAACACCGTCCTGTGCGATTCACAGCCACCGGTGGATGGATGAAACGAGTCGGACGCGTGGAGGAAGGAGCTCACCTGGAGTCCCGCAGGGCACGGTGTGGAATCGCGAGCGGGGCCACGGGGCACAGGCGCAGGATCTCCTTGATCGTTGCGTCGAGGTACAGCAACTTGTCGCGGTCCGCCAGGCTCGGACCCAAACCCGGTTGTAGTTTCTGCTCCATCTCCTCGTAGATCTGGTCTTGGACCTTGCGTGCGTGCGCATAAAATACAAATACATATCTACATTGGTGCTGTTGGTCACAAGCTGGTGGTGGATTGCTATGGTGGGGACTGAATCGGTTTATTTTGTAGGACAAAACCACGGTTGGAATAGCACAGCCTCATAAATTGCTCACTTTACTGACCAAAGGTGAGCGATGCCAGTGAGGATGTACGAGAATACTTGGCGGCGAGCGGCAAACTATGCACGTGCCCATCTGCCGTAAGGCCGCACCTCTGGGTGGAGCACGAGGTAGGCCAGAGCCCATTCAATGAGCGTCGCCGTGGTCTCGACGCCAGCAATGAATGTGTCCATGATGGAGAGGTGAATCCGTTCCTCCGTGAGGCTGCCCCCTCGTGCCTCTGACTCCTCCTCATTTCCCGAGTGCCGCTCCTCCTCCGATCGTCGCGGCTGATCGTTTGACCTCCTTCTCGGCGCCTCTGCGGAGTCGTCCGAGGCGTGCCCGTTCCTTCTATTTTGTGGCTTGGACTCGTTGGATAATTTGGACGTGAACTTGAGGAGGAAGTCGGTCATGTCACTGGACGGTGACGAGCTTGGCTTTGCCTACGAGAGTGACACACGAGGATAAGATCCGGTTCACAGCTCACATTTAATCCAGCCCCGCTGCCAAGCCTCATCGGCAGTTCTAGTCCAGGCTCAGGGCATACCTCTTCAATGCTGCCTGCAGCCGAACAGGTCCAACCCGAGGGAGCTGGTGATCAGGATGGTGACTCAGGTGTAAAGCTGCGAGGGTCGCCTAAAATGCACAACAGGCTGGTGAATGAAGCCATTTCCACCAAGACCCCTTGCACCATCATAGTAAGCAGGTGGTACCATGGCTCCTGAGATGAAGTGGCCATAGAGCCTAGGTTTCTCGTGCAAGCTGAGCCCCTGACAAGAGGCAAGGGGATGGATTTAAACTTCTCTGCATCGTGACAGCGTGGGAATTCCTCTAGGCGGCACTGTGGTGTGCTCGCATCCACCCGAAACGTGAGGGATGGTGGTTTTTGTTTTACTCGTTTCGGATCTGAAGGGGAAAATGAGTTGGGGGAGTCATTCAAATGAGATTGCGGGTACCTTGTGGAGAAGTATCTGCCTCCACACGACCTCGTCCCTTTTGCGCACAGCCGCCATGAGGTCTCGCCAGGCCGGGTTTGGAAATAACTGACGGAGCAGTGGGGGGAGGGGAGAAATTCAGAATATTTCACATATGTTAATATGAGCGGTAAGAAATTAACATCACACTACACAAGTCATTGCATTACACTGGTCGTTTTTTTATTTCCAGCAATGGACCAAACGTAATATTCAATAACATAACACTGTGAGAAGTAGCATCGTGAATAAGCCTTTCGAAGACTCTCTATGCATCTGATTGTTCTGGGAAAAAAATGAACGATCCGTTTGGAAAATGGAATTATCTCTCCAGGTCAACACAATGAGCATAAAGAGTTCGTTTTGAAACAATGACGATTGTTCTGTTTTTTTTTTTATCCAGACCAGAACAGTGACCCAACACAACTTTCCCACATTAGCCAGAACATATTTCTAGCAGTTTCGACCTTCATTAATACCAAGCGCTTAATTAATGTCCTGGATAAAGATCAATATATTTTGCTGGATAAACACCAGTCACGTGTTTGCTATTTTGACAATTTTTTTCACCAAAATTTGATGGAAGCTGCCATCTACCAACACATGATTCTGCCCCTATTGCCAAAAACTACCAAACGGTAGCAATGTCATATGCACATATGTTGAACTTCTTTCGCACCGTGCGGAGCCATCCGTGCTAATCGGAGGTGTGGGGGGAAATGTTCACACAACCCTGGTGTTGAAATTTGTAAAAACAGTGCCAAACCTGCCGAGCACCGTGTTGCCATGTTCCCAGTTGGCAACTGACCTCGCGTTTCTACGTTTTGCCCGCATTGCCGCCTCAAGCCACCGCGCGCCACCCATTGCCGCGTTCGTACCCGCAACACTGGGAAGCAGTCCAGGGCGCGTATGGCGGGTGAACCCCAAAGTCGAACGAGGCTGTCGAGGCAGCAGTGAATGTCCAGGAACTCCGTGTCGTGCTTGTCGTACTGTGGAGGGATGGCCGACATGGTGACATGATCAGACCCAGCAGCATGGAATGCGTGTGCACTTTGTGGTGTGTGTGCAGTCGTCAGCACAGTGGTTAGCGCTCTGCTCGAGATAAAGGTGGGTTTTTGATGGGCTACATCGGGGTTTCTTTAACTGCTGGCCCATGGGCCGGATTTGTCACAATGGAATGGCCTACTGAATTGTGGCCCTCCGAGAGGTCAGCGAAGTTGACAGTCCAGGGGTCGACTTTATGAATGTTGGTTATTGCAGAAGGAAGGATGGAAGGGAGGATGGAAGCGATGGTGAAGTGTGGTGGTATCAACGGTATGGGCTGTGATGAGTTCTTGACACATCATAGTTAGTTGGTGTCTGACCCTAGCCTGGACAACCCCCAAGACTGACTCATTCCAAACTGAGTAACATGTGTGATGCATGGATACCAATTCTGGAGAGACAAATGTGGCTGAGAATGCGTAGTTCTGGCCACAGCATCCCATCATGTGCTGTACTAACGTTAATGTACGCTAGTTTACATAAACTATCTCAAATGGTCCACGAACTAATTGGGAATCTGTTTTCTCCAACATGTTTTGGAAGAGACGTGGTATGTTTGTGCGTATGTTGAACTTCTTTCGTACCGTACGTAGCCAACTGTGCTAATCAGAGGTGCGGGGAAGGACAACAAACTAAACACAAAAAGCAGCTTTTAAATAAATTATTTTTCAATCTACATTTAAAAGTGCATAGCTCCAGTGACTTCTTAATATCGGAAGGACGAGCGTTCCAGGCGGCCGCAGAAGCGCAAACGAAAGTGCACCATGCGGTGACCGCCTTTGTTCCATGGCTAGCCAACAGCTGCTGCAAGGATGACCGGAGTTCGCGTGATGATTTATGCTCCTTGATAAGATCAGCAAGGCATCGTGGTTCATTTGTGGCAAGCACTTTGTGTGTAACGAGTGCGACCTTACAATGTATTCGTTCGGCACCTAGAAGCCAATGCAACCCTGGTGAGCACTGGACGGACATGGTGGGATATTGCAGTACCCGTCATGACACGTGGCAGATAATTGTGTACACGCTGCAGCTTGGTCATGATTTTTCAAGACGTCCTGTAGAGTAGTAAGTTGCAATAATCTAGCCTTGTTGATACTGTGCTGCAACGCCACCGTGTTTGGCCATGAATCGAATGCGTTGTAGAGCCCTGATATTGAAATCTCAGGACCTAACTACATTTTGCACGGGGTGATCAAACGACATGTTCGAGTATGGTGCTTAGGCTCTTTTGAAGAGTAGACAACTGAATCCTGGAGTCCGCGACCGCCACACCTGTACCTCCCACAAGCTTTCTTTTCGCCTGAGCCTGAGCGCCAACCAGCAGAGCCTCCGATTTTTTTCTGACTGAAGCAACATTTCATTTCATGCTAACCACGCGTGCAACACTCGCGGGCAATCATCGAGGTTGCTGAGGCTCTCCGCATCTAAGTTTGACTTCGCTGCGATGCGCAATTGTGTATCATCAGCATATTGGTAGAACTTGATGTTATACGATGAGATGACATCGGCGATCGGAGAGACGTTTGTTGAACATAGGAAGGGCCCGAGGACGGACTCCTGTGGTATGGCGACTAGGCACGGCACAGGCAATGACTGTTCATCGCCCAGCTTGACGAACTGTGATCGACCGTGCAGGCTACGACTCAATCCACCCCAGTGCCGTAACCGATACACCAAACCTTGACCTTAGCCACCCGATGAGTATCTCATGGTCAACGGCGTCGAAGGCAGCTGAGAGATCGAGGCCAAGCCACACTGCGGCGCACCGGTCATCCGTGAACTTGTAGAGGTCATCAGTGATCTTAAGTGGAGCCATCTCAGTGCTGTGGCACTTCCGGTATGTCGATAGCAATTGGTTGAATCTGCCTACGTGTTAAACTGAATCTGCCTGCCACCGCGACGTGAGGAAGTAACCGCTTCAGACACGGGTGCACTCTGACATTCTGAAATTGCACCCGGGTTTGAGATCTCAGCGATAGTTTGCGGGGGTCCCGATGGCTCAAGCGACATTACCTGCGCCATGTTGAACCGGTCTGGCAAACAGCCTTCGCTGAACGAACGATCTGCCAGGTGGACAATCGACGGCGCAAGCACGTTAGGGCACGACTTGAATATGGACGTGTGGATGTAGCCGAGCGACGATGTCTGATTTTACAGCCGTGCGATGACCATCGACACCTCTGGCACCCTTCGTTGTTGCCAGGGTCTCGAGTTTTGCACGTTATCTCTATCGACTTCCAGCAGGTTTCAGTTCACAGTTTCAACTGAGTTACGCGTGCCTCATGTGCAATTGATGTGAAGGTAACGGCACCTTAGTTCCGAAGGCGACGGAGCAGATGACGTTGCAGACTCGCATCGAGATGTCAGTGTGGATGTCCGTCGGTCGTCCAATGTACTGGGTCAGGTCCTGAATCCGCACAACGCAGGATCAACATTGGGCACTGTCTCTCTCAACAAAGCAACTCAACCCCACGAGTTAGTCAAACAGTTTATGGTGGGAGCGCATTTCACAGCAGTACATTGGCGATCTCTTCAAATGACATCGTCCACCCTAGGCCGCAGCCACTTCCCCTCCCACCCCGCTACAAAGTAATGTTTGTCACGTGACAGTCAGACTCAAATGTTTCATTTTCAGAGCTGGACATTGGCCAACTTTAGTTCAAAATCAAATGAAACAGTCTTGATTTGAAGCTTTCGTGACTGCAGGAATCCATACTCTTTGGTTCTTTCGGTAAAGTCACGTAGGTAGAAGAAAAGAATAAAACAAAAAATCATATATCACGACGTTTCGATCGCAACACAAGCGGTCGTCCTCATAAATATCCTCTTGTTGTAGCAGCTCTCTCGCTGGTTCAGCAGTTCCACGGCTGGATTATTTTTGTCCGCCTGAGGACGACCGCTTGTGTTGCGATCGAAACGTCGTGATATATATATATATTTTTCTACCTACGTGACTTTACCGAAAGAACCAAAGCGGACAAATGAAACAGTGTTTTTTTGTGCAGTCGTTGTTTCTCTGGGCTGTGCCCATCAACTGGGTGCATTTGAAAACCCAGTTTATAAACGGGCAGCTGCCTTGATTTGAACTCAGGATCTATGATGTACCTGGCCACCTCTTGTGGAATATATGTTAATCCAATACAATTTACCAATGTTTTTTTTTACAAATATTACTTATTTGAGCAAAATTCAAATTGAATGATCAGTGTATTGAGTAGGTAAAAAAATATATACTTGTTGAATGATTTATAAATCCATCCAACACATTTTCCAATTCCTATTTATTCTAAAATAATGAACATCACTTCATCATAATCATACATGATCAATCTACTACTGGATGAAGGCCTCCCAGAAGCCGTCACTATCCATCACACTCCTGTGATAATAAATCGCCTGCTGTATATTTGAAGTTTGCATGTTCTCCCCGTGGTCACGTGGATTTTTCTCCGGGTCCTCCAGTTTTTCCCTCCACATTTAGAAACGTGCGTTCAGAGTGTTTGGCCGCTATGAATGTCGTTGCGCTATCATCTGTGGCAGCCACGTGCGCTTCTGAAACATAACTCAGTGGGGCCTTACCTGGTAAAATATAAATAGGTTTGTTTTGTCTTAATCACCCAGCCCGTGCTGCACGTGAGCCGATGCTCGTCGCCCCATCTCCATAACAGACGTCCTCTCTGGAGCGTCCAACTCCACTGGCTACCATTCCGTTGACCGTTCTCGCACACCGCCCGCCGTCCCGGGCAGCGATGCGTCCTGCCCAAGTCCACTTTTGGCAGTAAATACGACGACGTCTTTATTAACATGCATGTGTTCTCTAATTCACGTGTCCCTCTCTTTGCCTCTTAGTGTAATCCCGAGCCCTCTCCCTGTTTATTTGCCGCACATTTGTGGCTTTCCTGCGTTGAGTTGGACTGCGTACTGAGCATTTGGGCTGCGTACTGAGCATTTTGCCACGCACTGCTGTTAACACCTCCAGGAGCTGAGCGACATTGCCTCGTGTTCGCGCTATGCTATTTGCCTTGCAGTCTTCTGACTTCCATTAAAATGATGGTCGTGTTATTCGGCTGTGGTGAACCTAGGCACGATGCCCGTATCCTAACAATGCTTCATAAATATGGAGCCAAACCAGTCTTGTAATCTCACCGTGAGGAATGTCCCCGTAGAGATTTTTGTTCCATCTTCATGAGTGTCCAAACGGCGCTCCGAGCAAAAGGGCTCATTGTGAACTCAATTATAAGTCGATTATGCGGGCCATTCCACTACGGCAGCAACCGTTTATAACCAACATTTATTAATTATATATCCCTCAGGCTGATGGGCGCAAGTGTCATTAGTGAGCAATTATAAAGGACGTTGTAACGAGGCGTTTTGCCTATTTATTTTCTCACTTAAACTCTCCCCAGCGACACTCGTGACTATTTTGATTGCCACGCGTGACCCAGCTTTTGCACAGAACTCCCTCCCCACATCCGACAGAGTCCCCCTGCCATTCAACATGTCTGGCAGTTCACCGGCGTTGTTTCAAGCGAGCACGGTGAGCGCTTCGCGTGCGTGCGCGTGCGTGCGGAGCGGAGCGGAGCGGGGCACTTAGCCGGCGCTCTCTCACCTCCACCAGTCTCTGCGCCTCGCCCTGCACGATCTCCTCCGTGCGCGCCGTCCCCACGCAGTGCAGGGCGCTCAACGCGGCGCGCCGCTGCCTCCGCCACACGGCCGAGTAGTCGCCCAGCGCGATGTCCTTGCCGCCTCCGGTGATCTTGCCGCCTGCGTGCAGAGGCGCGCGCGCTCGGTCTCCGTGCTCTGTCGTCGTTGGCAGTTTTGTCGTTTTTGTTTTTGTTTTTGGGTTTGCTTAATCAAGAGGCGAGCGGTGGTCTCATTCGCAAGAGTGGGCTCGGGGAGAGGGGGGAGGTCCCTAAAATTTTAAAAGTAGTAAAAACAAGTGGCAACAATGAAGCGGATAGAATTCAGAGCAACAATAACTACTCGATCAAACTCAACGAATAAGCAGCCAAATTAGAGTAAAAACAACCCTGTTAGAGAAAGAAATATCATTGAAAACAGTCGACGAACATAAGCAACGTTGAATAAAATAAATGTCCCATAACCAAGGTTGCCTCCAAAAATCCCTTTTGTGTTGAACCTCACCTGCGTAGGTCTGTGGTCTTCCGGCGAAGTCAGCTGATTTCTTAATGAGCATCTCCTTGATGGACTCGACGTTGTTCAACACAACGATGTCTTGGGAGGGAGCGAGGGAGGGAGGTTCAATTGCTGCATCATCTTAATGTGCATACTCTGGCATGCAGGACAACAACACCCATCACATGTGATGAGACCCCATACTCACAAACATACGGTCATGAACAAATTAATATTCCAGCAACGAATTGACAAGTCACATTGTAATATTGTTGTTATTATTTGTTCGTGTTATTCATGTTCACTGTTTATTTATCCTGTAAATTCATCGCCGACTCTCAAGACCCTTTGTCAGGAGGTTCCTGAACAAGGGATGCATGGCCAATTCCATGAATCAATGAGAGTTTGGCGCTCACGCGGGAGAAAATCCCACACGTGTGAGGGGCTCACGCTCACGGTTCGGCGCAGGATTTAAATACCCATTTATTTGCTGGCTCCGACCCCCCACCTCTACCTTGACTCCGCTCGTACCTTCTCCGCCGACACGCAGGCAGTACACAGCACCGTACGTCCGCGCCAGCTGTGTCAGGTGAATGTGCAGGTCCGTCCTGGCCATGTGCGCAACGTTGCCAAAGAAGGGCAATCCCGGAGGCCGTGGAGGCGAGGGCCACTTGGTCGCTCTGGGCTGGACGTACTGGAACACCCCCCATCTCCTCGCCAGCAACAGCAGAAACAGGAGCGCGGTGATGGCTGCGCACAGGGCCAGCGGCACCAGCATGAAGGCGGCTCTCGGTCGCCCTTCCCGAGGCGGCGACGTCTCGACTCGCTCTTGGCGCCGTTGGCGCGCGTCAACGGCGGTTGCTTTGTTGGGCTGTGACTCGCCTCCCACCCAAATGCGAATGTGCAATGTCCACCTCTGGCTGGCAAACAGGACCTGAGCGCTTTTCACGTTGACTCTTTTTCTCCACAGCACTGTATTAGTATTCCGGACGTGCGTGCAAAATCTCACTCGTCTCAAATGAAACCATTGGCTCCGCTCGAGTGCGTTTATATTGTCTTCTGGTATTCCAAAAAAAATGACAACCCACGCTATTTTTTTTTTTACTTCATTCTGTTATCAATGCTCTGTCCGTGAAACGGGAACATTGCTCAGAGGGACGTTCTTCTATCTGCGTTCTCTCTTGTTCCTTAAATTAAATTGTTGTCTCTCCCTGCTGCAACTTAGCCGTATTTTGCAGTCAATTTTCCAGGAATCGACGAGTCGGAGGAGATATGATAGCACATGCTATTCTAAAACAAACTTGGCATTGTGGAAACTTTCAGTGTACCCTTTTGAAATAGTTTACGTGCAGTCCCAGCAGTGATAACACGTCAGAACTGCCATGCAGCAGTAATCTCGAGTCTATTTTAAAGTGAAAACAAATAAATATAATTTACATACGTGATGGACGTTGAAAAATACTCCCAAGTGAAAAACAATCACGAACGCCATAGCCATATGTGTGCTTGGCGTGGCTCGGAGTCGTGTGACTTGGCGTGCACATTAAGGATGTAAAAAAATTGGGAAGATAAAAAAAACTTACGATAAAGAAAAGTCAGTTTTAAGATGAAGCAGACACTCCATTCTTCTCATCCCTTGCAATAAAATAATTCCTCACACCTTTTCACTCGACCTGGTCGTGTGCTGGGATAAAGCCACTCTCTGGTGTGAGATTTTGACAAAGCACTCAGCTCAGACGCAAATCGCGCCTTGTTTGAGTTGTTATTGATGCTCGCTGCACCCCGGACATTGTGTACACTGGTGAGAGACACGGAAGGGAGTCTTGACAAAAGGATTTCCCTGCAAACCGTGGCCACGCGCCGGCCTCAGATTATCACGGTTGGCTACGTACTGTGCGTAAGAAGTTCAACATATACGTGCGTACGACCTCGAGGCTGTGGAGGTAACACACACGTAGGAGATGTATGACCTGGTCACGATGGCGCTATGACAACTCAAAATGGTTCTCAGAGTTTTTGAAAAAGAAATTGTCAAGGAGTTAATTTAATGCCACCTATTATGATAACTGATCAAACATTCAAATGCAGAGCACAAACTCAGTATGCTTGGTCATGGAGCATTATGGGTAAAAGCAAATACATATTCTGATTCTGCAATACAGTATTAGCAGAATTCCATTGTGTCACTCCATTTTAAACAAACATCTGCTTTATGCCAATGGTCTATTGACTTTCCAGACCAATATCCAGCAGCATTCGTTTACGCAAGCAAACCCAGCATTGGATTCAACCTTTGGGTATACTCAGCATAATGAGGTTCATTAAATCAATGCTGATAGATTTCCAGATACGATGAGAAGATCAGATGTTATTATTTGCAAGAGCTCTCCAAAAAAGGTCCTATCATTACATTCAGTGTTTTACTTAATTTGGCAAGTTGTGAGAATATTAACTGTGTTGGTTTGACTTCCGAGCGATGATCATTTCTCTCTCGCTCTCCAGCAGGGACCTGAAGTTCACCCCCAAGTGTGTGGATCAACAAGGTCGCGTCAAAGAACGGCAGCGCACAATTCGTGAGAATTTTCCTTTTACGGAGATGGTCGCTACCACGGGGTAATGCTAGGGCTGCTCCCTTATCCTGCTTTTACCGGGAATTAGCATCTGTTTGGGTGCCAGGATTTTTTGTTTGTTTACAATATTGAGATCTGGTGTTATTGTGTCGAACGTCATGATGGTATACTATATATAGTTGTTCTAGAGCTAGGCTGACTGAGCTGTACGTCTGAGATTGGTCCGTACGGAAGGTTCCAAATGGGACACTTTTATTGACGACATAACTCAATTCTAAGAAAGCAATTGATGGGAGAGAGAGAAAAAAAACGAGTCCCAAGTGTGTGGCGGCCCCAAATTCCAGGCCAAATAACCCGGGCACAGTCCAATGCTTTGCGTCCGTGCGAAATTCAAGAGGCGCCCTAGATCCGCGGGTCTCGTACGTTTTTATTGTAATGCAATGTGCACGTCACACACTGTCACGTCTACAGGCGAACACGCACAATCGCACAAGCTCACACAACGGCGGCTTGCAGAGCCAGGCAGCGCACGCACGCACGCACGCCCTCGCCGCACGGGTGGATGCACATCGACTATAGGAGATACACGAGGATATAACGAGGAATCCACTCGCACACTACGCAACAGAAAAATATATATACCGTGTACGTGTGAGATATATATGTATATGTGTGTACGTGTACTGTTTATCCATATCTCGGCGTACTGCACAGGGCATAGCATGCTTTGTTTACGCCTAAAACAATCAATCACTTTGCTTCACCGTCCAGATGTGTAATGTCCAGTACACACGAGTCAATCACGAACAGCCGCGAGACGGCATCTGTCAGTGAACACGGAGACAGATTTATTTATTCCTTGATATATGGTTGCTGCCTGCACTGATATTATGATGCTTTTGAAACTTTTAAAGACATCCCTCCCGTTCCGAACGCGTAACTTTTGCAGGTCCTACCAAGCAAATTCCACTACTCAGTCACATTTATGATGACGAGGTGGCCGACGGACGATGGCAATGGACACGGTCGCAATTGTTACGGCCACAGGCCACTCATGTACTGGCAACAGCGACGATGATGATGTTAAAATGCGTTACTGAACAGCGGCGATCAAATCCGTGACAATCAATCAAATTGCAACTGCTTGGAGTAAGTGGCTGGTGGTGCTAATAAATGACAATGACGACACGCGTGAAAGTTCCGCTACAAAGTGCATACAGCAACGCAAGTTACGGCAAGCGTCAGAAAATGTGCCGTGAAAAAAAACAACGTATGCATAAGGTCGAACAGTGCATAACAATACAAACAAACATTTCATTGAGACCTCACCCGCAAATCTGCACCAGGTAGTAACATCAACTTCTGTAAATTCGAGGAAGATTCCCTTCAGTCACAGTCTATGTTGAACCAGCTCGCAAGTATCTGTAACCGTGGGCTTGCACACAGTACAATATACGAATGCGAGCATGCATGCGTGACGCGGAAACTCAAAGCATTCTCACTTTGGTAAATCAACAACATTTGTGTGTTCCCGTCAAAGAACCAGGCACTATCTCATTGCCTGTCTGCCGATTAGAACTACGCTTTAGAACAAAGACAGATCAACACAGCTCAGTTGGAGGAGGTAAGCTCATCTGATTGGCAGATTTTGGTTATTTTTGTTCTAATTCTTGGACTGAAACCTCAATGTGGCTACATATGTCCAAAAATAGCAACTGATCTTTAAACAAAAAAACTCTATAGTGCCCGATGAGAATTTTTTTTATGTTGACAAGGCATATTATTTAACTGACACCTTTGCATAATTTTCTGACGCAAATGTTCGCATTTCTTTTTTAAAAGACATTTTTATCCAAGTGCTCCCATAGACCTAAATGTAATTTTATAATTACTGCCTTTAACACCTACGAGCCTTGCAAATCAGATGCCTTACAAATTACGCGCGCTGCATATCGATGCAGAATTGTGGCACAAATCCAAGCACACAGAGCGAGAGCGAGAGAGAGAAAGTGGCGACGTTCTCCAGTTGATGCCGTGGCCGGTCTCTCCGCACTCGGATCGTCGTTAACGCCAACGCGGGGACAAGTCGGGCGGTCGACCCGTCTCAAACGCCGCGCGCGTTTCTGCCAAAGACCTCCCACCCCACCCCGCACAGCGCCGCGCCGCGCCGCGCGCGCTTTGCCATTCCCGTGCCGATGGGAGCGAAGATTTTAAAAGAAGCGAACCCGCGACTGATTACCGTTGTCGTCTGGACTCCCCCACCCCCCACACACCCTCGTTCACATGCAGCCACCGGCTTGGGGCGAGTCCCCCCCTCCTGTCGTCAGAGCCTGACTCTCGTCAGGAGACCACCGTCGGGGTACGGGATGCGAGCGAGGGCTTCTTTATTGGACACTTAACGAATTTACGCGGCAGGGTTCGGCTACAATGACGGTAGACGTCCCGCCCGACAGTTTATCTTTTTTTTTTTTGCCCTTCCTATCCGTGGCAGTGCCAGTCGGCAGTTAGGAATAATCGCGGGTAATTAGGAATGATCACATTAGCAGTGCTCAAGGAGTTTTTTGCGGTTATAGGGGTCAACACGAACACAAACGCGGCTCTACAATGGCCACGAGGCTGACCTTTGGTCACAACGGGGGGCGGTGGGGGGAAGACGCGTGTGGCGGGGGGGGGCATGCAGTGAAATGTAGAGGGCAGTGGCTGCATTAAAGCTTTACAAAGGTGCAGTGCACAAGGGGGGACGTGTACAATGTGGGCTGCCACTGTCTCCTGTTCAAGATGAGAGATCACTGAACCGTCTGGTGTGTATGTCAGGTCCAGTGTATAAGTCAGATCGAGTGTGTATGTCAAGTCAAATGTTTACGTAAGGTCGAGTGTGTATGTCAGGTCAAGCGTGTATGTCAAGTTCAGTGTGTATGTCAAGTCAAGTGCATAAGTCAGGTTGAGTGTGTATGTCAGGTCGAGTGTGTATGTCAGTCGAGTGCGTAAGTCAGGTCGAGTGTGTAAGTCAGGTCGAGTGTGTAAGTAAAGTCGAGTGTGTAAGTAAAGTCGAGTGTATAAGTCAGGTCGAGTGTGTAAGTCAGGTCGAGTGTGTAAGTCAGGTGGAGTGTATATGTCAGGTCAAGTGTGTATGTCAGGTCAAGTGTATATGTCAGGTCGAGTGTGTATGTCAGGTCAAGTGTATAAGTCAGGTCAAGTGTGTATGTCAGGTCAAGTGTGTATGGCAGGTCGAGTGTGTATGTCAGGTCGAGTGTGTAAGTAAAGTCGAGTGTGTAATTGAAGTCGAGTGTGTAAGTCAGGTCGAGTGTGAATGTCAGGTCGAGTGTGTATGTCAGGTCAAGTGTGTAAGTAAAGTCGAGTGTGTAAGTGAAGTCGAGTGTGTAAGTCAGGTCGAGTGTGTATGTCAGGTCGAGTGTGTATGTCAGGTCGAGTGTGAATGTCAGGTCGAGTGTGTATGGCAGGTCAAGTAAAGTCGAGTGTGTAAGTGAAGTCGAGTGTGTATGTCAGGTCGAGTGTGTATGTCAGGTCGAGTGTGTATGGCAGGTCGAGTGTGTATGTCAGGTCGAGTGTGTATGTCAGGTCGAGTGTGTATGTCATATCACGTAAGACAAATCAGTTTCCCTGCTCAAATAAGCAATGGGATGGCACTCATTTCTGTTGGCGGCTCCGCGTCAATGGTAAACAAATTCCACTTTTCCACGGCAAAGGACAGTCCCTCCAACGGTTTCACCACTGTTGAGTTCCCAAAAGAAATTGGTGATAATTTTGATAAACCCTGGAGAGGGGGTGAGAGAATGAGCTGGCCCCCCAAAAAACTTGCATTTGCGCTCTCGAAAACCTCTCCCTTAGCGAGGAGTCCAGCACTCTAACCACAGGGCCACCTTGTCAGATGGCGTGCACGCGTCTCTGTGCTGTACAATATATAGGGACTCCTCTACTTACGAACAGTCGACTTATGAACTTTCAGAGATACGAACAAACCTGTCTGTATGTCCAGTTGCTTGTTCGGACCGAGAGTCGTAAGTTCAACCACCGTTGCGATAGATGGCGGTGGTGGCATCTACATGTGTGGAACATGAAGAACCAGTGGCATCTGCATCTACGGGAGATTATACAACTTTTAAAGCCATTCCCTGTGTTCAGTGTACATCCCGTACAACATGTTCGGAATCGACAGAAGTTGGACATACTAACAGACCCTTGGAACCTAACTCGTTCGTAAGTAGAGGAGTCCCTGTACAAATGAATACTTGGCTAGACAATTGGGAAGGCTGATTTAAAAAGCAAGCATGTGTGAAGGGGACACCAGAATTATATAAATTATGAAAAATTTCTTTCATACAGTGTGCACAACTGTTAATAATCATACGGCCAATCGCAGGCAGTACAGCCATGAGGTTCTGTTCCAGCCGTGTAAAGTTTGAGTATTCGCCGCTCATATCCGTCAAACATCCCAGAACCAGTTAATCCTCAAAATGAGTCCTGAGACTTCCTTTATCTTACTCGGCTGTCGAGTAACATAAACAAAATATGGTTTTGGGGGGATGCATTCAGATTAGTATGTTGCTCAGGACACAGTGACCCTAAGGTTGGCCCTTTAAATAGAGGTTTACCATTGAAAGATAAACACAGTGTTTTAACATTGAGATACGTCTTTTTTGGACTTGATATCTTACTGCTGTCGGTGATAAGGACACATTTCTTACAAAAAACAATCTCTCTGGACAACAACAACTTCAAGGCAAATAATGTATTTCCAAAATGCAACCGCAGCACATGTCAATATAAATAACGCAATGATTAAGTTAATAAATTATACCATTTTTTTACGATAGAAAATATGTAGTGTGTTTGGACACTGAAGAATTGTGAAAAAGCCTGTCATCTGAAATGGTCCATTATGGCGGAACACTTGTTGCCAAGCAACAAAATATGAAATAAAAAAAACAACTGTCACCGTAAAAGTCGCCAGTGAACTAAATAATGCAAACGCAGGTAATAAATAATTCACAAATAAATGAGCCTATAAGTCAGCAATGGAAATAAATCCCCATTGGCACATTTTGCCACGTGTGTTCTAAATCCTTGAGGATTAAAGCAGTATACGCCACACATCTTGTAAATCCGTTGTCACAGTTGGCCATGCGCTGGGACACTTCGACACGGCGCGCTTGCGCAAGCAGCTGAGCGGAAATGCCCTCCACGCAGCCGATGGGCGAGATCGTCAATGCCAAAAGCCATGCGCTGTACATTGACCGTGAACACTGGCCCACACGGCACGATGATGACGACGAGTGTCCCGTGCTGTTTTCCTCTAAGCATGATGGCAAGAGTGAGACACTAACACGCTCACGACAACTGATATATATACGCTGTGTTTTATACTGGCACCGTTCGGCGCTTCCTCCCCGTTCCCCCGGGGGCTTTATCTCGTTGCCACATATTTGTAAATGCCGATTGGATTATTACTGGTAGAGAGCACAACGCCGACACGTTAAGGTTGTCGGGGCAATAATGGCATCAAAGGGAGAGAAAGGAGAGAAACAGCCCAGTGCATATGAATCAGGAGACAACCGGCAGCCGTTGAACATGATGGGTTTACTTGATAACGTAAATTCATTGACTTAAGCTTTCATTTGTATTTTTATTATTATCACTATCACCGTATCATTATCACCACAGATCATCGGAGTAGGACTCAGATGGGAGCTTTGCAGGGAGGACCCCAGGGGAACACCTTCTGGCAGTTTCCACCGAGACACACTGAGGGCAGACAGAGAGAGAGAGGGCAGAGAGAGAGAGCACACACACGTAAGCATGCGCACATGTCCCTGTGTAGCCTGCACAGGCTGCTAGGGCAAGTGCTGTTAGCGAGCACCTATTAAAGCCTGCACTTTGCACAAGATGGTTTGACTAGCGCCATTCTCGGCTGCATTTGTCTCCCGAATGCTGATTTTCACACAGTGCGCCAGACTCTTTTAAGGCTAAATTAACCTAAGGGAGGTCCAGAATAGCATTTCGCACTGATGCTAGCCATGACCGGGAATTGCAGCATTCGAAACACTGCGTCACCACACACTTTCACACACCGCGTGCACAAATACACGCGCACACGTACACACAAATGTTTGCACATACGTACATGCAAGCACGCATTAGTGCACACATACGTATGTACACAGAACACGTACACATGCGTATACAGATGCGCAAATGCACACACATCCACATTTCCATACATAGGCACACATGTGCACACAAATGCTTGTACGCACATACATACATATCCACACTTGCACATACATACAGTCCCATGCACACACATGCAATACATACGTACAGGATGACTGCACAATACAAGGACGCGTAGTTTTCTTTAGATTAATTTCCCCAAAGGTCGCCTAGCCAACCGCAGCTTAATGAGCACACTCACACATTTTTTTGCACTTCCCCAGAATATGTAATTTTTTGCACAATGGCAAGAAAACCCCCAAAAATATAAATTCAAAGCACAGCCTCATGCCATTGTCATCGCAGATAAATAGGAGAAAACCCGAAAACGCACGTTCTGGGAATTTCAATAAGCAGCTAAGAAATAAATGCAGTGACAAAGCACGTTTTACTTGCGATCAATTATTTGTGATCTAAAAGGGATTTTTTTTTTGCAACACCGAATTAATTTCGATCTCGTGAAACTTGGGACAGATAATTGGCAGTTTAAATTCATTCATGTATTCATTCCTGCCACCCCTGACTGCATTGTGCCCTCGCTACCGAACAGAAGCCGGAGAATGTGTGCTCCTACATTGGCTTGAACGTACTCTGAAGTGATGGCGAAGTAGTGAGCACAATGTGCTAGGAGCCCGGTCACCCCATTTTCAATATTCGGTCCCAGCGTAGTGTCAGTTGCAAGTGTCATCTCAATTGGTCCTGGCACCTCCACCCTCCTTTCACAAACCCACATAGACCAGCGTGGTGAAGTACGGTCAAACAAACCCGCCACGCACCCCCCCCCCCCCCCCTCTTGGCCAACACAGATTAAGTAGACCTTCATCCAGCAGTGTTTTTTTTTTACAGAGGGCTGAACGTTGTTATTTTATTGTACCAGGAGAAATCCTTACTGAAATTCACAGAAGCGCAATATGCATTGCTAAACAGTGCTCTTCACTAAAACGTCTCCAATGGGAAACTATGCGTTCGATCGTTCTGCCGCCATTTGCAGTTTTATAATTTGTCGGTTGCGCGCAGGGAACCGGAGTGCCATAAAACGCTCGCAGTGGCCATTTTCGCCGAGTCACGTGCAGTATATTTTTTCAGGTAATTGTGATTGTCAGCGGCAGCAGCCTGCTGTGCTTGAGCACATGATGAGATTGCCTCGTGGTGGTGCGAGATAGGGAAGCGGCGGGGGTGGTTTAATGTTGCAGGCCACACATAGCTCCATAAGTCTGCGCGCTGGCTTCTTGACTGAGTAAATTCGCGTGCATACCATGATACAGCTATGATTTTGTCCTCACAATACAACCTAAAGAAACCCCAACGTCTACAAAACCACGTCGCACACACTGTCCTCACCTCCGACCTTGCTCTCCGGGCCCTCCACTGACTCGCAATCCCCATCAGAATCACCTTCAAAATCGCCTGCCTCTGTTACACTGCCTACAGGACCTCCTGACGCCCTGCTCCCAAACCACCGCCAGAACTCTCCGCAGCTTTACGCAGGAATTACCCCTCCACACCGAGAGCCGGCACCGCGATCGCCACGTGTCGTTTCGCTGTTGTCGGCGCCTCCACCTGGAACGCCGCCGCCGCCACCCCTCCACATTCGCAGCACTTGACTCTTCACCTACCTTTAAGCGCCTTCTCAAAGCAACATCTTTCTATTTTACTTTTACTGAGCGGATCTCTGAGCCAGGCTCCGCGCCTCAGAGTCGCTGCCTTCGGGCAAATGAAAACTGTGCCCGTTACAAATTAGCCTTATTATTATTATTTACTACCTGGAAATTTCATTTTTTATTTATTGGGTGTCACCAGGCATGAAATTGTACATGAACTGTTTAAAATTTAGGGGGTGGAGGGAGGCGACCTGTCTGGGCTCAGACTGCACGTAGGAGAACGTTACGACGTCCAATTGTTCCTGAAGCTCCTTTTTCCCTACTTGCCCCCTTGCACTGGAACAAACTTCCCCTCCACATTGAGCAAGCGCCCTCCCTGTCGAGTCTCCGCTCCTCCCTCAAGACCCACCTCTTCTCCCTGGCCCATATTTCCCTCCATCTCTAGGCACCCCCGTAATTCCGGTACCTACTAACAGCCTGCCCTATACCCCATCCGTATTCACCATATCACTTTTAGTTACCCTCATTGTACCGCTCATAACCCTTGTAAAGCACCTTGGATAAAAGTGCTATATAAATATAAGATAGGAATACATTCCATTCCTTGGCCACCACTCCCTTGTTATTCTTGACCCATCGACCATCGACCCCTTAACGTCATGATGTGCCTTGCCCAAGCCCACTTATTTTTCTTACTAGTTCAGGTCGTTCCATTAAATTGCACGCATTCTCTTTTCCATTATTTCCTCTTTCTGTCTCTCAATTTGATGACAAGAACTCATCTCTCCGTGATATTTTTGTGCAATTATTTGTTTTTTGTTATATACATCTTCCTGAACAACCGTGGGCCTAAACCTAAGATTCTTCATCTTCATTTATATTCATTTGTGGGTTAGACCACGTAAATGATCTGGCCATATTTGTGTTATAAGATCCTCTATCATCCCGACATCACCAACTTACCTGAAAAAATGCTGCTGCTCTCCTTTGAGCCGTTGAGGGGAATCTTTTCAGGCAACATCCCGTTGGCTCCGGGAATCTTGAAGAGCGTTGGGTCGTTGCTGTGAGGAGGGCAGAAGTCGGCGTGGACTTTGGGTTGCACGTTGAGAGACGTGCCCACCACTTTCTCCTTTGCCAACCCCATGCCCAAGGGCTGCTGGGACAGACAGCCATTGCCTAAGACTGGGCCCACCTTGGGGCCACCCTCGTTCTCCTCCTCCACCACGGGCCGCTCAGCCACCGCCTCGGGCGATCGAGCCACGAACCTGCGCCCGCCCGCCATCTCGGAAGTGTCGTCACCCGATGCAGTCGCGTCTTGGAACCGTGCCCCGAGCTTCACGTAGTTACCGGCTTCTCCCGGGAAGTGTGGCCCCGGCGGCTTGGGCGGACGAACCCGGCCCACGGCAACAATCGGCACGGTGGAGGCCCGGTCCTCGAGAGCCCCGACCCCGCGACATGGCGTGGCTGCATCGCCATCGCTCGTCGTCGCTTCCACGGCCCTTTCTGGTGCGACGGAGGAGTCGGGCTCGACCAGGATCTTGTCAAACTCGGTGAGGCCGTGGCCCGCGGCCTTCTCGCTCACGTACTGCTCGTAGTCTTCGAAGGTCTCATTGGACAGGTCGACCCACTCGTCGTCGTCTTCCGAGTGAACAAGGTCCAGCAGCAGCCGCCCTGATTTCCCGCCGCCGTTGGACAGTTCCTGGTGGAGCATGTTGACCGTCACGTTGATCTTGCATGGCTCCACGGTCATTGTGGGGAGGTCGTCCTCGTCACGAGCCGTCGACTCGTCCGAGGAGGAGGCGTCCTCCGTCATGTCCTGCTTCATGCTCAGCTCCTTCTCGCAGCAGTCCTTCTCCCACTTGTTCTGCGGTGATTTGCGGCCTTCCTTGTCCCTCTCCCCAAAGCTCTCGGCCCTCTTCAGCATGCTGTTCGAGTTGTCCTTCATGGTCTTCTCCGGGCCAGGATTTTCGCAGAGCACGTACTGCACAAGTCGTTCCTCGCACACGATCTGGGGGCTCGGGATCTCCTGCGAGGGGCTCCTGGGCTTGCGTCTCACCATGATCTCATTGCTCGCGATCTCTGCCAGGCACAGCCCCTCCCTTTTTCCGCTGCCTTGTGCGTTCGGCTTCACAATCAGCGTTGCCTGACAGAAGATGTCATCCTCGTCGTCATCAGAATCTTCTTCATCGTCGTCTTCGTCATCGTCGCTCATTTGCTCCTTTTCCTCAGCCTCCTTCTCCTTTTCACAGGCCTCCGTGTCAGGATCATCGCGCTGCGTGTCGCACTCATCCATGTCCTCTTCCGCCGCCTCCTCACATGTCTCCTCCCGCTCATACATGTCATCATCGTCATCGTCGTCTTCATCCTCCTCATCATCCTCGTCCTCCGTCTTCATCTTGTCCTCCCTGCAGTCCATTTCTTCGCAGTCTTCTGCATCCTTAGCCTCTGCCTCGGGGACACTCTCGTCCGTTTCGGAATCAGCGTGGACTTCAGACACGACGCGAGCCAGTGGTGGAACAGAGTCAAGACTCCCAGCCTCCTCCACAAGGACGCCAGCCTCCATCTCCTCAACAGCCTCAGCGATTTTCACGCCCCGAACTTCCTCTCCCCGCACCTCCTCTCCACAAGCCTCCTTCATGTCGGCTGCATCGTCATTGCCTTCAGCATCACCGACATGGGCTTCAGGGGCGATCTCTTGGATTCGATCTTGATCCGACTTCACCTTTGGGCCTTGCTCTGGCTTCACCTTGGGGTCATCCGCTACGCTGGCTGCGACAGGCTTGCTCGTGAGTTTTTTGGCAGGCTTTGGGGGTAGGGAGCTCGTTGAGGACGCCTTCGGGGAAGGTTGCGAAGATTTCTTGATCTTTATGGAGCTGGCTTTGTCTTTGGTTGATTTTCCAGCAGCTTTGGAAGGGGCTGGGGAGGACGATGGCTGTTTCTTGATGGATGGTTTAATCTCGCTCTTGGAGGATGACGTTTTGCTCACGGAGGACTTCCTCTGATTGCCCTCGAGGGCGACGGCTCCAGAAGTGTCAGCTGTTAAAAAACAGGGGAAATTATAACTGTAAAATTATAAAATCGCAAAGCATGGCACAATAATGTGAACAATAGTAATCTGCATTTGTGCATGGTGTTGGCTTTGGATCGATCTCGTGCGACTCCTAAACCCTGTCAATCCGGTTGAATTTGATCAGAGGTCGTCAACCTTCGGCTACAGAGCCGCATGTGGCTCTTTAAGGGACTGCTCCATGACGTTATTTATTAAGGACCACCGTCCCGTATTCACCACTTGCATTGGCGGTCTCTTGAAATATTGAGGTTTTTAGGTTACCGAATTCGACGAAAAAAATGGCTCTTGTTATTTTGGTTGCCAAGCCCTTGCATTAGACTTTTGCGGCCTACTGGTTTGGGAACCAGGGCCCTTCTAAGGAGGGGTTTGCGTGCAGTTCTCTGAAAGGCCGGAGACATCACTGGAGAGATGGCCATCAGAGTGGCGTAAGCAGTGGCTGTCACCAGACTCGGCAATGCCTAAATGTACAACGTCAAGGGTTCGAGTATTAGTCTCCTCCAGTCCGTGTGCTCCGTTTTTCCTGATGTATATTCGCTTGCAGAAGTGTTGCATCTGCGGGAACCCTTTTGTCATTCATTGCATGGTGCTGGGCCTGTTAATTACGGAGAGCTCGGAGCCTGCCACGTTCGCTCATGAAGAGAGGTTTTTGTTTGTGGGACATAGAAAAATAAAGCTCGTATTTTCCTCTTTTTGTAATGTTGCATTTTGGTGAGCTGGTATGAATAACTTTTCCAGCGGATTACAATTGTGGGTGTACATGAGTTTAAGTTTATTATCCTGTTGTGGATTTAATTTTAGTGCAACGTGACGAGGGTTGGGGATCGTGTAGCTCGAGAGGGAACTATCGGTGTTGGTCAGCCCGAGCATCACCAGGAGCGGGGCCCCTTTAATAGCAGACCCACGGCCAGGGCCATATTATCCAATAGGCCACAGGAGTAGGCACTGTGCCTAGGGCCTATGAAAACTAAAAGGCCTATGCAAAAAAATGTTGACCATGTTTTTTTATGATTAAAAAATTTGTAACCAAGATATCGTCTTGGATAAATATATTTATATAGCAAGGATAGGCACAGCGTTTCAAATTAAATCTGCTTATCTCCAGCACACACCACGCTCCCCATCAATTTAGAGCACAGACTAAATAATGTACGTATCAGCTGGACAAAGTACCGCGTGAAACAAGCGGAGTGACAGCGGCTACAGCAGTAACATGGGCAGCAGCAGTAGAGAGTTATCACTGAAGGCCTATGAAACAGAAGTGCCTAAGGCCTACAAGAACCTTCATCCGGGGCTACTCACGACAGCAATGAGCAGGAACCCCTCTTGGCCCATTTCTCGTCAGTCCCCTGTCGAGGTCGCTCCTTCATCTCATCCAGTACCTCGGCCAACATTCCAAATTCCTAATTTTACATGACTCCTTTCTTTTGTAGATTTGAACTGAGCTTTCGTGATGTGTTACATTGGTTTTTTTCTTAGAATGCCAATGTCGAGGTCTGCTGGCCACGAGAACGCACTTCTGGAGAGCTTTTGTGTAGTGTGCCTGTTTCTCCTACGTTGAAGGAGCGCAGACCACAGTGGTTCACGATGTGGTCCACAGTGTGGGTTGCACGGTCACAATCACACTACCGTGGCTTGTCTTTAATTTTACGTTCATGACGGAGATGCGTGCATCGGCCTGTTGATGTTCTGATGCGGTTGATGGTTACACCATCAGTGTCTTTGAGGAGGGAGGGCAGAAGAGGAATGTCACAACCAGGAGGTGGGTGGGTGACGGTAGCCTTCTGGTGGCCCACCTGTGACGTTTCATTTTGTTTTTATAATACAGTACCTTAAATGCAATATGTCATCTAGGCGAAATGGACATCGTAAATTTGAATCCAGATGCGATCAGTGTAGCTAAATAGCTAAGGGTTTTTTTTACATGCATGTGTGTTTTCACGATGAAGTTTGATTGTAACCAAATATATATGTGCATATATGAATGCTATAAAACGTCAATGCATTGGCAGTGTTGAAAACAGGTGAAAGGAATTAGTGAAATTGCCCACGTGGAGAGTTTCAGGGAATATCCGTTTTATTTTTTACGTGTGTCGTGAGATTTCAATGTGTGAATCACATGACACATATGCCCTTGAAATTAAGGTGTTCCATCTCTAGAAATTATTCCAGATGAAATATTTGTTATAAATTAAAACATGAAAAAAAAGTGAGAAGTTATCTCTCTAGCGTCAATAAAACGAGTACCACTGTGGGAAATTTAGGTAATTTCATCGAATGAGACAGTCACACGCAGAAGAGAATAATCTGGAATTTGAATTTGAATGGGTTGAGCATTATCAGTGTGAACAGAGGAATGGAATTTCAGACATTGGGTGTGGCAGCAAAGGAGCGTTTCCTCATCGTGTGAAGGTCGACCTGAGGGTTTTGACAGGAGGCCTTCGCCTCGATTGCTGGAGTGGAAAGCAACGTGAAGCGGAGTAAATGTGGGTGAAGTAGGCAGGGGTGAGTCCCTGGTCACAGGTCACCTTTTCCAGGACGGCCCACTGTCTTATTCACCGAGAGACTCCGGGAGCCAATCATGGAGGACGGGCGAGGCTTCGGATTGGATGAGGCCTCGGATGAAGGGGGCGTCTCCATGACAGCAGAAGCCGGCCTTGGCTTCCTGGTCTTGACACTACACACACAAAATCACAATGAACAAGTCAAAAACACTATGTATACCATTATTATTATTACACTTGTACGCAGGCAAGCCTTACTGAGTCTTAGCTCGTGCTAAGTTTTAAGCAATTGAGTATTTTTTTTCAAATTTGGCAACATTTGACCATGATGTCAGTGCACAATGGCCTCCGCATTTCAGCATGGCTTCATTGGATCCTTTATGTCCACTGTGATGCAGATGGAGCATAGAATGCTATGGTTAATACACCGATAGCATTGGCTAGGGCAGCCTGCCAGATTCAGGCCATGAAGCTATGCAACGAACAGCAAAACACGCTAATGCTGGGTCACATCACTTCCCCGTGAACAACAAGCATATTTGTGAGTGGACAAGAGGGCATTTTAATTTTCATGAATGGGATATAAAAATATGCCGAAAGACTTACAGCTATCCTGAACTTCAATGCATTATATGGTTGTTCAAAAGAAGGCACAATCCTCAAAAACAAATGGCTGCTATCTTGTAGTAGATGGGCACATAGGCTGTGCGCCCCAGAAAGCCTAAAAAGTTTAAGCTTTGATAATGAACAAAGGGATTTTAAAATGTTAGTAAAGCTGACCCTCATGACATGTATGTATGTTGAACTTCTTTCGCACCGTACGTAGCCAACCGCGCTAATCTGAGGTGTGGGCTGATGTCAGATCTGTCCATTTATAACGATATAAATCAAGACAATGACGCCAAAAGAGCACTGACAGAGCATGTGACCATGATTTCAAGGTCTTTTTTTCTCATTTTAATGAAGGCTTAAAGCGAATGTTGTTCAGTCACAGACACGTGGCAAGATAGGGGTTGATGCCGAAGCATTAAGCAAGCAGCGCTAACCCCTGGATATACCGACTAAACACAACAGCATTTAAAGACGCTTTGAACAATGTCCTCCGGCATACTAACAAGTCATAGTTACAGCAATCCATACTAGTGATGGGTCTCTGACTGATTATTAAATATAACTTCAAAACCCCATTATCTGGTTTCTAACTTAAATTATCATATTCCAGGTTGGGAAAAATAAATAAATGTGGATTTGATTGACATATGATGTGGACATAGACGACAAACTACTGTAAATCAACCCTTACTCGACCCTACACAAAACCACTCAAGTGCTGTGACTGACTAACCCCTATTAACGACCACCCCTTTTAATGACTAATCGCTTAACGTCGGGCCTCCATAGAGCCCAATGTGTAGTGTATAGTGTAGTGTATAGTAGTGTAGTGTGTAGTGTAGTGTATAGTAGTGTAGTGTGTAGTGTAGTGTATAGTAGTGTAGTGTATAGTGTAGTGTATAGTAGTGTGTAGTGTAGTGTAAAGTAGTGTAGTGTGTAGTGTATAGTAGTGTAGTGTGTAGTGTAGTGTGTAGGGTAGTGTATAGTAGTGTAGTGTATAGTAGTGTAGTGCCTCCATAGAGCCCAATGTGTAGTGTATAGTAGTGTAGTGTATAATGTAGTGGAGTGTGTAGTGTAGTGTATAGTAGTGTGTAGTGTATAGTAGTGTAATGTATAGTAATGTAGTGTATAGTAGTATAGAGTATAGTTTAGTGCATAGTAGTGTATAGTGTAGTGTATAGTAGTGTAGTGTGTCGTGTAGTGTATAGTAGTATAGTGTCGTGTATAGTGTATAGTAGTGTAGTGTATAATGTAGTGTATAGTAGTGTAGTGTGTCGTGTAGTGTATAGTAGTATAGCATATAGTGTAGTGTATAGTAGTGTATAGTGTAGTGTATAGTAGTGTATAGTGTAGTGTATAGTAGTGTAGTGTATAATAGTGTAGTGTATAGTAGTGTAGTGTATAGTGTAGTGTAGTGCCTCCATAGAGCCCAATGTGTTCGCTTACCGACCATTCCCCTGTTAATGACAGGCTGTTGTAGGTAAATATTAATTATATGCATTGATTAACCCTGTTTCTTTGAACATTATGTGTTTATAATGTCAGTATCTTTATGTATTAATATACATTGCTTAAATATTATAAAGTACGTTTCTTAGGTGAAAAAGGGTAACTTTCGATGCTATCGGAATGAATGAAGCCTTTAACGTGTATTTCATACCCTCGCTTTATTGACCAAACCACTTAACGACCGGTTCCGTGCAGACAATTACCGTCGTTAAGAGGGGTTCTACTGTACTGTGCTTGTGTTTTTTTGTTTCCCAGGAAGGCCTCAATGAGTCTCAAGACTCTTTTGCAGGAGGGTCCTGCCAAGTTCTTTTTTTGCAGGTGGTAAGATGTTGCTGCTGTGTGCGATCCGAAAAGAGTCATTTTGCGGTTCAAATTTGAGCAAAATTTGGCTAAGAGTGGAACCAAATAACCGTGGTTAAGAGGGATTCTACTGTGCTGGTATAACCACAGACATCTGATGTATCTTGTGATCCTTTTTTAAAATGTACGTTTGGTTCTCATACCTGCTGCTTTTCTTTGGGACTCCATCCTTCCCCGCGGATGAAGCATCCTTCACCGAAGACTTCTTGCCTGCTAAATTACCACGAACATGTTAAAATACGTTCACGTGACTCATGCATAGCAAAGCAGTTTAGATAAAAATGACGCAGGAACAAAAGCATAATCTCGCACCCACGGCGCATTCAACTGCATGACAACGAACAGACAATCCAGGTCCTCAATACACGTTAAACAAAGCATTAAATGTGGAATTGTATGTTTTTTTTTACTGGTAGGAACCTCCTGGTTACACCAGCCCACAGGGGATTATTGTGTCCGTCCGTCCTGCATCCAAAATGGGAGGGGTGGGGCTGGGCGGAGAGGGGAGGGTGGGGATGGGCTGGGTGGGGAGGGAGGGAGGGGCTGGGTGGGGAGGGGAGGGTGGGGAAGGGCTGGGTGGGGAGGGTGGGGCTGGGTGGGGAGGGGAGGGTGGGGAGGGGCTGGTCACCCCGTGGTGCCCTTATAAAACTCAACGTTTAATCTACTCACGCCGGCTTGTGCCCGCCCTCACAGTCGGGCATATTTGCGGAATACACCACGCCGCCGTTGACCCTGGCCATTGACCGAGCAACCCAACGTTCCTACCAGCTCCCTCCGCAGGAATTTGTTTTACGTGGCTATTTAATATGTAGAGCCAGTTGTGCATATTTAACGACAATATTGTTATATTAAACGTGATTATGATTTATACATCCCTTTGTCAATTAACTGTTTGATTAAGGCCTACCTTAACTTGGCTGGCCACTGAGGACTGGTGAAGATTTGGGTGGGCACCCAGGATAAGTTCTGATACCATTCCGTATTGCTGTTCGCTTTGGCCAGGAATCAAGCTGAGATAACCGAGTTTAACGGTGCAGGGCACCAACCACGATTCCACTTCCCCTCAACATCAAATCAAACAATTATACATGTGTAGCCTACTTCACTTTCCAACTATTTTTTAAATGATATTGATTGCTTTAAATAGCTTCACCTCTCACCCGCTCGCATATAATCTCCACTTGGAAATGTAAATTGTCATCTCGGACAATGCTGCACGTTACCATCACTCTTACTACCATCATATTAACCATCACCACCAACATCGCCACTGTCGCCGTCATTATTTTAATTACCACCGCCATCCACTCCAGAACCACAAATATGGCTTTCAACACAATCACTACTCTTTGCACCATTGTTCACCTTATCATCGTCTTAACAACGCCACAATATCAATATCTCTGACCACTGTCATCCTCTCCATCATAACTACCGTGACCCTTACCACCACCACCACCACACCCTTACCATTATCAGCACCACGGCCCTTACCATAAACCATCACCACTATCACCACCACTCTCGTTATTACCACCACCTCCTCTTACCGGTGTCCACTCCGCTCTCGCCGCCGACGTGCGGGGCCTGACCGTCCACCTGGCCTCTGCTGCCCCCGAGCGACATGGATGCTGGCCTAGCCTTGGTGGAGGTCGCCTTTGCTGTCCCAGACGTCTTCCCGGTGCGACTCTGGCTGCTGGCAGAGGATGACCGGCTCAAGCTAGCCCTGCTTGCCACCTTCCCGGCGTTTGCCAGGGTCCCCGACTTGGGCTTGGCTCCGCCAGGGAGGGCCGAAGGTTCCGCCGTCTCCATGGCGGTCACGCTCTTGCGCTGGGCCCTACCAAGCCCGGACACCGGTTGCTCCGTGACGATGTCTGGCTTCATGGCCTCTCCTCAGCCAGCCCTGCACCGCACGTGGCCCAAAGGGAGGTGAATTCCATCCCTTGTTGCCATTTTATTCCGTCGAACGTCATTTCCCCCTAATAGAGGTTTTTTTGGGGGTTTGATCGCGTAAATATAAAAAAATCGCGTAAATATATATGTATAAAAAAATATCTACACGATATAACCCAAAAAAGCCCTCTATTATGGATAATATTGGTCGCGAAAACCTATATGCTAAAGTGACTTCCCCCTTGATTTGAAGGTTTCGTGACTGCAGGAATCCATACTCTTTGGTTCTTTCGGTAAAGTCACGTAGAAAAAATAATATATCACGACGTTTCGATCGCAACACAAGCGACGTAAGTAGCTTTCTCTCTCTCTCTCACCTGAAGACGGTCGCTTGTGTTGCGATCGAAACGTCGTGATCTATTATTTTTTCTACCTACGTGACTTTACCTAAAGAACCAAAGATTATGATTTCCCCCTTTCAAATCAGCATCGGGGCTTTGCTCATCTCCTGTTTAGTCTTAAGCCAGTAGTGACATTACGCGTTTCTATAGCAGGGGCAAGGCAATTAAAAAATTGCTTTTTTCCCATTTTTGACAATTACCACTTTTCACAGTTTTATAACTTTTAGACATTCGCTAATTTGAAACGTGCCCAATATATATTTAGTTTTTTTCACAACACAAATGACCACCGTGACTGCGGCGTCGAGTCAAGGGAGTTCTGTGTCACTGGTAGATGCAGGCGAGAGAGGTGGTGGTGGTGGGTGGGGAGACGCCTTTAGGATGTTAATAGACGAGAAGCGGGACGAGGGAAGGAGGAAGGGGGACGAGGCAGAGAAAAGAGCCGAGGGCAAAACCGAGAGACAGAGAGAGCAGAGCACGGACGGGCAGCCGTCTCGCGTGGCGCCTCCTGGCGGCCACTTCGTGGAAGCGAAATTGTGTAGCCTTGACTTGTTTATTTTCTGTGAACATTTTTTTTTATTTGAACATTACAGTCGATGCATTATGCATACTAAAATGCGGCTCTTTTGGCAATCCCCTATTGAACGAAGGTCTAATCACACATTTCAGTTATGGAGGTTGCTGAAAACATTCAGGAGATTATTCGGGGAGGGCGCCGGATTTTCAAAAACGCCGGATAATCACTCACCATCATTATATAAAATAGCTTATTTTTGCACATTCTTGCATGCCATTATGTTTAGATGTTGTTTAATGTTTTTCCAGCGCTCCTCTTTGTCCACCCCCTGTTGGATGAAGGCCTTGCCACGCATTTCAGTCATTGAAGGTTTGCTTGAACACACTCCTCACTTCAGTGCTGGTCAGGTGCCGGTTTGGTTCCCGGGACCAGGTCAAGTGCTCACTCGCCACTAACCGAGGCAGCTGGGCTCACAGCGATGCTGCGCGCCTCACCGCTGTGTGTGTGCTGTGTCTCACTGAAGCCGAATACACTCGTTGTGCCACTCAACTCGAGCAGGGAGAGTCGGGGGGCATGGCAGCGAGCGCCCGCAGTCCACTAGCGATGGTGAGGTTTGGGAGGTGTCGTGCACAGACCACGCGCGTTAATCAGAAACTCAACTGCAAGATGGCCAGCAGATGGCAGTATAGGGACTAGGTGCTCACCCCTCTGCAGATGTTTTGAGCATTCCCTCTGGTCTCCATGATCGTTCTGCAGCTACTTATTACCGACTTCCTCCAAATGTGCACATCGTTAGCATTGAAATCGCCAAACATCACAATCCAGAACTTTAAAAAGAAAAAAAGGCTTGACACTCGGTGGTGTTTTTTTTATATACAAAGGACATTGTTATTACTACTCCTATCAATGGCGGAGTGATTGTAGGTGGAGTTCATATCGAAAGGGGCGACATCAACCAACCACGTCTGTCTGTCCGAGTTGCTATGGAGTTCAACGTCTGGCAGCTGCTGAAAATGGTGAACATTTCATTACGGTTGCAAGAAAAATGTTGTGTGTGGGGGACAAAAAATATGGGATATTGTGTCTCAGACACATTCTGGTTAGCTGCCAAATACATTATTGCAGCAACGTGACATCCTCTGCGGCATTGCAGTTGTGTGTGATTGTACGTTAAAGTCACCGCGAGCATCGTGTTTCTTAATCTATGTTTGTTACATATAGATTTGGCGTTGTCACAATGTCTCATCGACACAATGCAGCTCGAACAAGCAGATTTGATATATTTCAATTGCTGCTGGGAATTATCCGGTTTTTTTTACATACCGTATGTTTTTTGGGGTTCATAAAGCTACATGTAGTAATCAAACATTAATTTCTTTGAATCTGTATTATTACACGTTTTTATTCTACAGATAATTGAAAACACGTATGTTTTTTTCCAGCCAATATTAAGATTCATAATAGATGTCGGGCTTTCCATTGTCATGATCAGAGCTTAATTTATTTAGCAAGACTCTCCACGATCCGACATTCATATTTGGCTGGTTAAACGCTTGCACACGTGACACTGTTTGGCTGTCAGGTGGCGGAGGGCCTTGCAAGATAAATCTGCCCAGATCATGACATGGTCCAATCCAAATATCTATCATGAAGTCGGTGGATCAATGGACTTAAACGTAAAGAGACTGTCTGCCAGGCCAGTCAGGACCACAAATAGAGATGGGCACCACCCCACGCCCGTTTGAGCCAGGATAAAGCTGTGACTTTACGTTCATTTAAAGCACCGCTGGCCGACATTGAGAATGTTGCCGTAACGGAGAGGATCTTTTTTTCCTTTACGAGCTTCGTTTGGAGAAATTAGAGGACGTGCCTTCAGTGCTCAATGCAGTAAGGCTCTTTGCTTATGAACGCCCATTCCCATTAGATTGGCAGCGTCCATTGCCATAGCCCCTGGCAATTGGCGCGGTGGGGCAGGAAAACTCGCTGGAGGCAAATCTGATGGCGCACGCAGCGCATGAGCAATCCAGCTCCAGAAATCCACCTCGCGTTTTGGTACGAGCGCTGACGAGCCAGCAACACTGCAGTGTCTGCAGCACAGCACCCACAACCATGCAACCTCGCACGCCCCCTTCTCTACCACAGCCCACTTCCCCACTGCAATACACGCCCAACCACCCTACACCCAAAAATGTGATGTGGCGGTCTGCGATGGTACAGTTCGTTCACAGTAAACATCCATCATCAAATGGCACTTCCACCCACACATAGACATCACCGAGTCCCTGCCAGCACCCATTGATAATGTCCGTAGTGGCGTGTTCCAAATCTGCGGCACAATTTCAAAACCCTCCGGGGCATTTATCTGGCCCATTACAGCAGGGATAAATAACAGGATACAAAAAGGCTTACATTACACAGAGTAAATATTCAATGACACTCTGGGATGAATTTTGAACAGTTTTTTTTTAAATGAAATCCCATGCTTAAAATTCAGATAATCAAAATACAAAATAAAATCTGAAAACCGCCCGTCACAAAGTTAACGCCAGCGGCATTTATTTCAAGGTGAAGTGTATACAATTGTGTACGTGACCAGATACGGTCACAATCACAATTCTTTTCATGCTACCTGGAATGAAGCTACGCAGGGAAATGGCGCTGACCCACATACCGAATGACTCACGCCGACATTTAATGTCGATCCAGGCGCGGCAATGACACTTGCACACCGGGCATCCATGCAAACCCCCAACTGCATGCAATACAGGGCATGAGATCGATTTCATGTATGAGCGCATCCAGTAATAACAAAGGCCAGTGTATTGTCTGCGTGTGAGCACAATGTGAGGGCGGACCGTTAGAAAACCGCACCCACACATTTTCGCGCACGCATGTACAACTCAAAAAGCTATCAACAACCGATGCACTCGCCTCTACGCATACTCAAATAAGTGAATGCGTGCGATGGAATACAATCGCATGCAACACACGCGCACCAAACCCCACCCAATATCAGCGTCCATTGCCTCGCATACACGAGCACACAAACCTGCATGCACACCTCCACAATCAATAATACATCGACACGCAACGAACTATAATGATATGCAACAACATGCATACCACCCAGCCCTGCAATGAGACTCTCAAACTCACCCACACAGAAGAAGAAGAAGAGAAAAAAAAACCCCATAGCGCACATTCGCATTCAAATCGTGCACACCCCAACACAATTATAACCCCACGCATAGCCACATTCAAACTGTTCACGGACACCTGAACCACGCTCCCACGCATCCACATTCCCGGACAACCCCGCTCGCATCATCGATGCGTCTACATCATGAGCATCTCGCGTTTGCGAGATTAACATTGCGCGCGGAAGCGAACACTCTCCACATTTGTCATCCGCACGTCGAAGAAAACCCGCACCCAAACCCTCATCCGTCCCCTTTTAGAAATTTCACCGAAGCAAATACACACCGTTATACATTTTAGAAATTTGTGATTTTCTTTCTCTCCTGATAATGCTATGTCCTGCAAGAGAAATTCATTATCCGTTCATCGGCAGATAAAAATGGTTCACCCTACACATAAGAGACAACAACACAACGCCATATTCCACCTTTTTTTTTCAACCTTGCCGCATTTCTCCATCCAACACACAAAGCGTGCCATTATCAACATGACCTTTCGCACGGGCGAGCTTGCTGATCGCATTTTACTTTCTTGTTCCACGTCAATATCGAATTCGCAGTTTTTCGCAATAATTACCACCGGCGCGTGAACAATTCCATGCGACGACCCGCGCCATTCTATTTCTCAGCTGAAGGCGTTGGGCGCCAGAGGCAGACAGTTCTCACCGTGCGGTTCGCAGATGTGCGAGAGGACTCCAGCAGCAGCACCGCCAGGTCCCTTCTCCTCCTCGCAAGCGCCCTTCCAATTTAATCTCACGATGTGTGCTCTGAGCTAAGCGTCTGGAAACGCTGGCCAACCAGAGATGTGGGAAGGGGGAGGTGACATGATGGGAGGATGAGGGAGGAGGCTGTGTGCATGGAGCAGGAGTTGCTATGGAAACAGATCCAGACTGCCCTCACCACTACCGCCACCACCCTATCCCCTATTGCCTCCCCATGGACCCGATCACCTCCCTCGTCTCCTAACACTGCCGCCGCCACCATCACCGTCACCACCGTCTCCCTCATCTCGTACAATCGTGACTTTTGTCGGTCAAGATTGCTTAGGAGGCCGATATCATCATCATCCTCCTCCTCCATCTCTCTGGGGACAGAGGTGATGTCCTGGTGTCATTTTTATTTATATTCCTGGTTCTTTCGGTAGAGTCACGTAGGCTTTACCGAAAGAACCAATAATATGAATCCCTGCAGTCACGAAAACTTTAAATCAAAATTTAAGTCATTTTTATTGTTTCGGTAAAGGTGCAGCCCTGCAATTATTTGCTCATGTCATCGCTGGCAAGAAGGGCCTTCATTCAAAGGAGGGTTGAGCCAGTCGAGAGCTGGAGAGAGTATGTTATGCCTACTCTTTCAGGAGCACACTTTTAAGTCCACCACGGCAGGCCAGCCGATCAACTGTGCTGTGCCCATTTGTAATAATGGGTGGACAGAGGCTTTTTTTGTCTGCCATATATACACACACACACATATGAATATCCACGTTAGAAATTCTGTTATCGCCCTACGTAAAAATTATTATATAAGTTATTTATTGCAAAGACAAACAATATAAACGCATATAATTGACAAGACCAGGTTGCACATAACAGCAAAAATGCAACGAATCGGTTTGTTTTACATTAGAATATCAGCCAAAATGGATAACTGATTACATTTTCACTTCACATGCATATTTATAGCTCTTTTCCTGCTGACTAGAAACAGCTTAATATGCGATTTCCCCAGCTTCTTCCCTGGGTGAAGCAGCGGGTAGAAATGAACTTGTTTTTCCTAAAGCTCCGCTGACCTGATGATAAACAATGACGCGACCATGCACCCAAGCTGCGCTGGTCATGGCACAGAGGCCCTATGCGCCAATCAAATTAACCCCATTTGTCCATCTGAATACGAGCGTTTTTGATTAATAAATAAACACGCAATTACAGCGGATGAAAGGCTTAAAAACACAATTCCCAATTAATTGCAGCGATATGTAATCGTTCCGGGCATGTAACACGTTTTACAGAATGGGCATGGCTAGTTTAACACATAGGCTTTCACGACCAATATCCATAATACAGGTTTTTTTTGGGTTAAATCTAACCCAAAAATATCGACGCAATCTAACCCAAAAAAACTTTATTTTGGATGGGCATGGTTGGCTGACAAAAAACCCCCCACAAAGGGTGTTGGAATCATTGAGATGGGATGTTAAGGCGCTTTGGGATTCCCAGGCAAATACAGTACTGTATATCAAAAAGGTTAAACGCAGAACCCAATTCATTAATGGGATCGTGGCCCTGAATCTTGGCGATTCTTTTCAATCGGAGAGGGATTTGGGGTGGATTGTGACCATCAACAGCCGCACAGCCACATGTCGTCACACGCGGAGTTTCCCCGTGCTCGACCATGGTGGCTCAGCCGAGCCAGGCGGAACAAAGTTCACGCCAAGAGTAAAACACAAGACAACGGGTAAGGTCATTTATAGCACGAGTAACATGAGCTCTATGTTACAAATACAGTGAGGGAAAAAAAGTATTTGATCCCCTGCTGATTTTGTACGTTTGCACACTGACAAAGAAATGATCAGTTTATAATTTTAATGGTAGGTTTATTTGAACAGTGAGAGACAGAATAACGACAACAAAATCCAGAAAAACGCATGTCAAAAATGTTATAGATTGATTTGAACTTTAATGAGGGAAATAAGTATTTGACCCCTCTGCAAAACATGACAGTACTTGGTGGCAAAACCCGTGTTGGCAATCACAGAGGTCAGACGTTTCTTGTAGTTGGCCACCAGGTTTGCACACATCTCAGGAGGGATTTTGTCCCACTCCTCTTTGCAGATCTCCAAGTCATATTCTTAACTCTTTCGGTAAAGTCACGTTGAAGGGAAACAATAAAATAATAAAATATATATGAAACAATAAAAATTATCACGGCGTTTCGACCATAATACAAACGTGACTTTACCGAAAGAGCTAAGAATATTAATTACTGCAGTCACGAAAGCTTTAAATAAAAATTTAAAACTTCTCCAAGTCTCCAAGTCATTAAGGTTTCGAGGCTGACGTTTGGCAACTCGGACCTTCAGCTCCCTCCACAGATTGTATATGGGATTAAGGTCTGGAGACTGGCTAGGCCACTCCAGGACCTTAATGTGCTTCTTCTTGAGCCACTCTTTTGTTGCCTTGGCCGTGTATTTTTGGTCATTGTCATGCTGGAATACCCATCCACGACCCATTTTCAATGCCCTGGCTGAAGGAAGGAGGTTCTCACCCAAGATTTGACGGTACATGGCCCCGTCCATCGTCCCTTTGATGCGGTGAAGTTGTCCTGTCCCCTGAGCAGAAAAACACCCCCAAAGCATAATGTTTCCACCTACATGTTTGACTATGGTCCCAGCTGCCTTGAGATCATTGACAAGATCCTCCCGTGTAGATCTGGGCTGATTCCTCACCGTTCCACGAGGTGAGATCTTGCATGGAGCCCCAGGCCGAGGGAGATTGACAGTTATTTTGTGTTTCTTCCATTTGTGAATAATCGCACCAACTGTTGTTACCTTCTCACCAAGCTGCTTGGCAATGGTCTTGTAGCCCATTCCAGCCTTGTGTAGGTCTACAATCTTGTCCCTGACATCCTTGGAGAGCTCTTTGGTCTTGGCCATGGTGGAGAGTTTGGAATCTGATTGATTGATTGCTTCTGTGGACAGGTGTCTTTTATAAGGTAACAAGCTGAGATTAGGAGCACTCCCTTTAAGAGTGTGCTCCTAATCTCAGCTCGTTACCTGTATAAAAGACACCTGGTAGCCAGAAATCGTTCTGATTGAGAGGGGGTCAAATATTTATTTCCCTCATTAAAATGCAAATCAATATATAACATTTTTGACATGCGTTTTTCTGGATTTTGTTGTTGTTATTCTGTCTCTCACTGTTCAAATAAACCTACCATTAAAATTATAGACTGATCATTTCTTTGTCAGTGGGCAAACGTACAAAATCAGCAGGGGATCAAATACTTTTTTCCCTCACTGTAAGCACTGCAAGGGCCTGGTAAACACCGTGCAGAAATTAGGATTCTTGACAGGTAAAATATGTAGCCTGGTGCGAATAAAATAACATTTGCATTGCCATTAAACGGCATAAAAGTGACAGTTCCATTTACTGCCATTTGTCAATCCACTGCTGGATGGGGACCACCCCACACTGTCGGTCTTAAGGGTTTGTTTAACCCCAAACTAGTCAGCACGGGTTGGTAAAGGAGGTGGGGGGGGGGCGCTGGGACCGGTTCAGATATAAATCGCCAATTATTATAACAGACTCAAATTTCAATATCACAGCGATGTCAGCTCTGTGCTGGCTCCCCGAGTAAGATGGTGTTGTCGCCTCTCCAATAATAGGGCGGTCCCTTGCCTTGACTTTCATATTGGGGTGTCTCCCGGAGCAAGATGGCGGACGCTGCATTGACTTAACATTGGGATGCCTCCCGGAGCAAGATGGCAGACGCTGCATTGAAAACATTGGGTGCCTCCCTGTGTAAGATGGCGGACGCTGCATTGACAATTGTGCGCATCCCTGAGTAAGATGGCGGTCGCTGCATTGACTTAACATTGGGTGCCTCCCGGAGCAAGATGGCAGACGCTGCATTGATCTAACATTGTGCACTTCCCTGAGTAAAATGGCGGACGCAGCTTTGACTTAACATTGGGTGTCTCCCTGAGTAATATGGCGGACGCTGGCTACAATTGACGTGATTGGCGAGCCTTCCCTCCCCTCTCAGCGGTGACGCGCGCCTCCGTGTTGAGCGCGGAAACTGCTCCCCGCTCTGCGCGCACTCTCCGCCCGTCTCGTCTCTTTTATTTTTTTTTTCCACCTCTGGCTAAAGGACCCCTGCGACTTCGCCGTGAAGGTAACAACAACAACATCAACACGCGGTTACCCGTACACGCACAACGACAAAGATACATGTGCCGCACGGCCTTCGACAAACTCTGGGACAATTACCGTGCGGTACTTTCAAATATACCCTTTGGTTCTATTGGGTAAAGTCACGTAGGTGAAAATAAAATAACAAAAAATCACGACGTTTCGGCCACAACACAAGCGGCCTTCATCAGGTGAAGGGACGAGACTGTCTGAAGGACAGCGCTGGAGTGGGAGAAGCCACGCTTAGATCACGACCTTTAAGCTTGTGATCGCGGCATCTTTTGAGGAAGGTCAGCGTCTCGATGAGTTGCGACTTCTTGTCCCGTTGTCTGTTAAAAGCTCTAACAGATAGGTGAAAGCCCTCCCCATAGAGGTTATCGATTCTAGATTTAAAGCTTTCGTGACTGCTAGGATCCATACTCTTTGGTTCTATTGGGTAAAGTCACGTTCTTTTCACCTACGTGACTTTACCCAATAGAACCAAAGAGTATGGATCCTAGCAGTCACGAAAGCTTTAAATCTAGAATTAAAACAAATATACCCCTTGTAGCCTTAACAGACTGTTGGGGAAAGTGCTGTGAGTGAACACATATGAAGGGCGACACGAGGGGGTTGGGTGGCCAACGCCACGCCCGACCGCCTTTGTCTCCCGAGTGGCGATGTTTACACACCGCACCAGGTACTCATTTAAGGCTGAGTCGATCTAGGTACAGGGCCATCAACAGGTTCAAATAATAGTCGCCTATATTGGCCTTGAACGGGAATCGATATTGGATCGCATGGTTCGTATAACTGAACCCCTTATCAGTGCCCTTATTACAGACCAATTCAGACCTTATTTGGTCACCCCGTGCCCTTATAAATCTCAACGTTAATCCTACAAAAAGTCCCATCACAAGGGAGAAACACAAATATACGAAAAGATTTGCCCGTATTGGAACGGCTGTACAGAGCCACACAAGGAACAACACATTCTCCTGCGGAGGGAGCTGGTTAGGAACGTCGGGTTGCTCGGTCAATGGCCAGGGTCACACGGCGGCACCACGTGGTGCGTTCAGCACAATAGGCCCGACTGTGAGGGCGGGCACAAGCCGGCGTGAGTAGGTTAAACGTTGAGTTTTATAAGGGCACCACGGGGTGACCAGTAGGCCTCGGTAAGGTAATTTACCTTTTTTTACCTGGTAAAAGTGTAAAGGTGAAGGTGTCGACATGCCAAGGGGTAAGGTGAAGGGTAGGGTAAAGGTAGCTCGGAAGAATTTACCCGGTAGGGTAAAGGTAGCGTGAAGTATTACCCGCTAAATACGGTGCCTTGTTTACCACTAAAAGCTCCGTGGCGCAGTCCGTGGCCTCCATTTAATAAGTAACATTAAAAAAACACATTTAAAAAACACGCTTTAATGAAATGTACCGTACTAGTAATGTAAGAACTCCCCGACTCCAGGAAGTGGCCCCGAAGCTTGCCACAACGTAAGGGGACTGTGGTGATTTACAGCCAACGTCAGTTGAGCGTGGACAATTAGACCCAAGCCGAAACATAACATATACAAAATAATGTTTAAAAATATTTTATTTTTTTATGATATAATATAGTATTGTCATAAGGATGACATAAGTATACCAAGTTCGCAGTCGATACCACATTGGGAAGTGGATTAAAATTGAGTTACAAGATTTGAGGATACAACAACAGAGTGAGTTAAAAGAAAGCGTGTAAAATTGGAATCATTGAGAGTATTCTATATGAATAAAGCGCTGTACCTAGCATTTACCTCCATGTGTAGTAGTACCCCAGTAATTACCCTGTAATCGGGTAATTTGTATGGGGTAAGGGTAAAAGGTAGGGTAAAGGTAGGCTCGTTGCTTTTAACCTTTTACCTTACCTGCTGAAGGGTAAAAGGTAGGGTAGAGTGATTGTAGTGTGGTAAGGTAAAAGGTAGGGTAAAGGTGAGCTCGTTTTTACCTTACCGAGGCCTAGTGACCAGCCCCTCCCCACCCAGCCCCACCCTCCCCACCCTCCCCTCCCCACCCAGCCCCTCCCAGCCCCACCATCCCCACTCAGCCCCACCCAGCCCACCCCCACCCAGCCCCTCCCCACCCAGCCCCACCCAGCCCCTCCCTCCCCACCCCAGCCCTTCCCTCCCCACCCAGCCCGCCCAGCTCACCCACCCCACCCTCCCCACCCAGCCCCTCCCCACCCTCCCCACCCAGCCCCTCCCCTCCCCACCCAGCCCCTCCCTCCCTCCCCACCCAGCCCCTCTCCACCCAGCCCCACCCCTCCCATTTTTGGATGCACGACGGACGGACGGACACAATAATCCCCTGTGGGCTGGTGTAACCAGGAGGTTCCTACCAGTATAAACGGAGACATGTGGAGACACGGTGAGTGATCCTGGTAACAGACATCGAGGCGTAACGGAGGACGGTGAATAAACAGTGAGCCCCAGGATTTCTAGTCGAACTCGACTTTACCTTGGGACCAGTGATCCAGGTTTCCCAGTGTGAACATGAACCGGTGTTACAGGGAGTGGTGATATTCTTGGTTCTTTCGGTAAAGTCATGTAGCAGGGAAATAATAAAAATAAAACAGTATAAAATTCTCACGACATTTCGGCCACAACACAAGCAGCCGTCCTCGGGTGAAGAAACAGAGCTGTCGGAAAGACAGCGTCTTAATGAACACTGCTAAGCTTGGCAGCGTATTTTAAGCTGGGTGGGAGGAGGAGAGAGCCTTGACAAAGGCGTTTACATATCAACAGAGGAATTTAGCATATTGATGACAAATGCAGATATGGGGTTAGTCACTCCTTGCAGAATGTGTAGGCGGTGGGTTGTCCGCAAGGAGTGGCTAACCCCATATCTGCATTTGTCATCTAGGGGCGGAGCCAGGGGGGTGACAGGGTAGACAATTGTCACCCCCGAAAAATAAGAAATCGAAAATCTGCAACATTCTGCGTATAAGTGTACGACACTCGGTCTGGCGGACTGCGTGCAACTGCATTGTCAGAGTGTGTCGCCAACCGATGGCGTCTAGTTCAACAGCCTGACTCTCTAATCATTCTTGAAATTAAAATTTGTTGAATGTCACCCCGGGGCTGAAAATCCTGGCTCTGCCCCTTTTGTCATCAATATGCTAAATTCCTCTGTTGATATGTAAACTCCTTTGTCTAGGCTCTCTCCTCCTTCCACCCAGCTTAAAATACGCTGCCAAGCTTAGCGGTGTTCATTAAGACGCTGTCTTTCTGAGGACGGCTGCTTGCGTTGTGGCCGAAACGTCGTGATAATTTTATTATATTATGTTTAAATTTTTATTATTTCCCTTCTACGTGACTTTACCGAAAGAACCAAGAATATGAATCCCTGCAGTCACGAAAGCTTTAAATCGAAAAAGGGTGTGGTGACTTGTAGAAATCTCAGTTTAACTACCTTGCAACGATGATCCAGTGTGACAGGGAGCAGGGAACCCCAGGAATATAAACACAGAGCACCCGATCGCGTGGTTATAATTTTGGGATAAACGGTAGGGGGCCGTCCATAAATGATGTCACGCACCTGGGGGGGGGGGGTCAGACATTTGTGACGATGTGTGACGAGGGGGGGGGGTTGAGGAATGTGACTTCACATCAAAATGCGCAACTTTAAATAAATATAGACAACACGTTCTACTTATTTAAATAGACGTTTTAATAAATGTTTTCTCCTACAACATCAGAGTGCAATGCCACATTAAATATGCACTTCAATGACAATAGTTTCAAGCGATTTGAAGCATGTTTTATATATTTGGGGGGGGGCAGAGCTTTGTGACGTCATTTTTTAGAGGGGGTCTGACTTGTGGCGCCGTGTGACGAAGGGGGGGGGTCAAAAATCGTCAAATCGCGTGACGTCATTTATGGACGCCCCCTAAAACGTCTTAGTCGAATAGTAAATGTTGTGGGTTAACTCTCCAACAAATCGGTGTGCTGAATTAGTAACGAATTGGCATGGTTTTATTGACGTGACAACTCTTACTAATTGGCTGTGGGTAGTGGTGGGTTTAACGACACATTTATATTTATGCCATCTAATCCAAAACACCTCTTATGGAAAATATTTCGGCACGAAAGCCAACGTGTTCAACTAACCTGCCTTGGCTTGGAGTTTCACGGCCTTGGTGCACACAGGGCCTTTTCTCTGTATAGCCGTGCCCTTGCACCCTGGGGTTGTTCTCTTGCTGTGCCCTGGCAATTTGTGTTCTCTAGAGCGAGGACAATAAGGATCTGGGACTAGAATTCTGTGGACTGGCATGGGAGGTGCATACCGATATGTGCACGCGTGTTGTGAACATTTGCTCTTTTTTTTTCTTCACATCGTTGCCCTGATGCACCTTGCAATTCATGATTAGGAATTCCCTACCGGCACCCGATAAGTTTAGTTGTGATTTTTGGTGTTAATAAAGAGTTGTTATTTTGCAGCCGAAGCTTGGTCATCGTATTTCGTCCGGGGTGAGCGGGGGAGGGAACCATGAGTGGATATGGGTGGAATTTAAGGGGAAGATCAACCCTTTCTGCCACATTGCTGTTACAGTTACCAAATCTCTCAATTTGTATCCCGTATGTTTTTAAGGCTGCGATGTGACTTTTGGAAACAGAATGAACCTATTCAAATGTAATACCAAGTGTACATTCTGGCCTTAAACGGGCATCTTATGCTTCCATAATCTTACGCTTGTTTCCTAAACCATTTCAGCCTACAAGGGATCGTCGCCAACAGGCGACCATGCTGAACATGTGGGGTCGCCTCCTGCTGATGCCCACGCAGCTGATCCTGCGCGTGCAGTCGGTGTGCGTGCGGGGTATCCTGTTTTCCCTGGCGCTGCTTGCAGCATACCTGGCTTTGCTCCGCATGGCGTGGGGCACACTGAGACACCCACGTGCGGCGCTCAAGAGGCCTCACGTGCGCACCCAGCCGCCGCCCTGCCTCTCCGACAGCACCTTGGGCGAGCACGCCTTTCTGCGGGTCCGGGTGAGATTTTTTTGGGGGGTAGTGGGGGGTGCAGGGGGGTGTGGGTAGGACTTTTTTCTTCTGAGTTTGTCCGCTTGGAACGATTAATAAACAAGAGGACCTCGTAGACATTGTTGAACAAATATGTTTTCATAATAAGTCATAATCAAAGTTTTTTGTTGGATTAGATCCCGTGAATATAAATGTGCCATTAACGCTGCATGTTAAATATGTTTTCTTTATACTGTTCAAACAATCCTAAGATTGCTTTTATTTAACTCACAATACAATGCAATATAATTTGAGTTTACAAAGCTTATAAATGTGACCTCACCAAGATGCTGTACAATAAATCAAAACCTGTACGTTGTCAGCTTGTGGGCGAAGACAAAGGATGTTATTCTTGCTTCACAGGAATTGGTAATGTTAAACAGAGATGTGGGATCTGGAAAATATTATTTCAGGGCTGGTAAAGACATTTGGACAGATGGAAACAGCCATGGGTAGAAAGTCTTGAGCATTAAACCTAAGGCGTCGTGCTGCATATTGGAATGGACACATGGGTTTTTTTAGTTGGCCCTTTGCTGCTGTGCTTGTGTGCCAGGAGTCAGGGTTGCGGTTCCATTACGTGATGGCTGGTGACAGAAACAAGCCTCTCATGCTGCTGCTGCATGGCTTCCCCGAGTTCTGGTGAGGCATAGTTGCGGACGGTACGACGCGCAGAGCTTTTCAACCCGAGTCGCTGGAAGACCATGCTGAGTTCTCAAGCGACCAGACTTTTGTCTGAACTGTAATGTGTCCAACCACCACACTGCAGGCCACAACACATATCTTTCTGGTTCTACCCTCGCACCAATCAACTTTGGAATTCGCTCCCATCATCATGTCTCAATTTGAGAAATGTGTTACACTCTTACCTACTGACTTTCTTACATTGCTGTTTGTTGCTGGCAGTTTACGGTTCTGGCCCTGTACTCGGCAACTGGGTAAAAAAATGCCACCCACCAATGGCCTCTCCCCCGCCAGATCAGTGCATAGGAGGGCACCATGCATGTCGGTTTTCCGTCGGCATTATCGACAGCCCATGCGTCACTTTAGAAGGGAGGGCGTTTTCCAGACATGGTAATCTGTGTGCGCTGTGAGTGTACGGATTTTAAAACCACCGCGTTATAGCTCTCGTTCATTTGCGGTCGCTTGAAATCCCCCACACGATTAGAAATCCACGTTTTTTTGCGTGTTGCGTGGGCTCCTGTGGATTAGCTGTGGGTGTTGGCAGCGTAGACTATAGTTTTCATTGTTAAGAGCACGACCGTCATTGTCAACTTTCTTCAATACAATACCACTTTCGTCCTGTCAGCTTGCACTGGTGGGAGAGTGCTCGGCCCAAAATGTCAATGTTGCAAGTTCAAATCTCTGCTTCGTGTTCAATAAAGTTAACGGTGCTTGTATTATGGAAATACTTGCCCAACAGAAATGCATGTTGCCGATTAGCTTGTTTCAGCATACAGACAAATTGACTGACAATTTTGCATGTCAAATTGGATGTTTAGACATTAACTGCAGCAGCCTTAACCATTGGTGCAGATAACTCTAACAGTTATCTACATGGTTATGCAAGGACTGCAACAACTGACCTTTGCCCTTGAATGCCATGGGCTGGTTACATCAACCTTGGGAGTTAGGTGAGGAGCTGGTTATCGCTGTGTAAACAAGTTTTCTGCAAAGCAGTTGCCTTTGGCAATGCTGGCTTTGTCCTCTTCTGCAAAAGAAGGCTGAGATATGAGTTGCTGTTGCCGAGGGAAATCAACAGAAAGTCAATCATCATGGGGAGCATAGTACTATTTACTTTTTTTTATTTTACCAGGTAAGGCCCACTGAGCTATGTAGCTCTTTTTCAGAAGTGACCTGGCCACAAATGATAGCTCGGCGAAGTGGCTTATCATGTGGAAATGTATAGCAGCCAAATACTCTAAACACGTTTCTAAATGAAAACCGGAGCGAAAAACCGAAGAGAGCACGGGGAGAACATGCAAACACCAAATATACAGGCGTCAGGGTCAGGATTGAACCCACGATCTCTAGTGTGCTGCTATTGACTCCTGCAAACTCCTTTCATGGGATGGGATAACAGGTCAACCCCCCTTAATGTTTTATGACTCGAATAGTAATACAATATGTTCATAGTTATTTATGTGAAGCATGCTTTACAGTTCCAGGAGGGTTCTGCTTAGAATGTTGGACCAACTCCTGATTAGAGTATTTTTGTGCGGTGGAAGCAAAGTTGGTGTCCCAAACAGAACCCACACTTAAAAAGGTGACGATACTCAACAAAACATGAATACTACTTCTGTGTCTTCCTGAGCACGGGTTTGATGTGGAATTCCCTCCCATTGTCTCTTTCCCAAGTTGTTGCAATAACTTTGGTCAATGCACGAATCGTGTTAATGCTTTTACAAATTTTAACTGTGCCGTTTGTTCTTTGCTGCTTTACGCATCGGGCCAACGGGTCCTGTGCTCAGCAGATGTATTTATGTAACAAAAAATAACTGGACACGTGCAGCTCAACAATGCCGTGGTTGTCACGCTGCCGCATCCCAGGTTCTCGTGGCGACACCAGCTGCGCGAGTTCAGCCCCGACTACCGCGTGGTGGCCGTGGATCTGCGCGGCTACGGCCAGTCCGATGCGCCCGCACGGCACGAGGACTACAGCCTGCCGCTCCTGCTCGAAGACATTCGGTGCATCATCGAGGTTCTGGGTGGGTGCCGACAACCATTTGCCACAAAGTGGCGGTGGACATCGCCACAGCCATCCGTGCCGGGCTAAGTGCACTTTGAGGCTACTGAAGTGTCGAAGGCTCGCAGGTGTTGTGGGTTGACCGACTGATATTGTTGACAAGTGCACCACCTGTTGATTCCCATTGTGCCAACTTGCTGCATTTTAAACACCCAGCACTCCTGTACAGAAATCAGGACTGCCTATCGGTAAATTTGTAGCCTGGTGCTAATTACATAACATTGGCATTGCAATCAAAAGGCACAAAAGTGACCGTTACATTTTATAGCCCTTTGTCAATCTACTTCTGGATGAAGGCCTCCCCACGCCGTGTCTGTCTTAGGGGTTGCTTAACCACATGTAACCATGCTAGTCAGTGCTGGCTGCCAGGACCCGTTCAGCTATAAATGACTAATTATAGCCGTGGCAAGGCATCAAAGTCAGATTGTCAGGTTTTTAACGTGGTACGCGAACCACTGTGCCATGGCTCCCCTTTATCATTTGCATACAGAATAACATAAATAATTGCATGTGTATATGAAATATTTATTCTTCATAATATGCATAAATATTACATAAATTATGTACAAAGACAATTCGATGCATGTATTATGAGAATAAGATTTGATTAATCATTACGCACTTATTTTCCACTTGGTCAGAGTGTGTTGTCAGGGGATGGTGACCAGAAGCCTCATTTACCATGCACAACTCATGTGCACATGCCATGATCCTCGCACAGGTTTCTGGGATGAGTGCGTCAGTTCTGCCTGACTCCACTGTTTAGCTCTGGCTGTGGCTGGCCGCACTCTCTGTGCATCGGTGACCCTGCCGTGCCTCCCCACCGCCAGGCTGCACGGGGTGCATTCTCGTGGGCCACGACTGGGGCGGGCTGCTGGCCTGGCGTTTTGCCATCCACTACCCGGAGATGGTAAAGAAGCTCATCATCATGAATTGTCCACACCCGTCCATCGGCCTCGGTGAGTAAGAATGTCATGCTTCGCTCTCAGTGGGGGGCTTGTGGCACATTTGGTCTGGCACATTTGGTCTGGCACATTTATCTGGCACCAACGATATTTGATGAACAGAGCCACGTTTCACGTTCAAGATAATTTATTTAATCCAGTGAAAACTCAAATACCCAAGATACAGTGAGGGAAAAAAGTATTTGATCCCCTGCTAATTTTGTACGTTTGCCCACTGACAAATAAATGATCAGTCTATAACTTTAATAGTAGGTTTATTTGAACAGTGAGAGACAGAATAACAACAAGAAAATCCAGAAAAACGCGTGTCAAAAATGTTATAAATTTATTTGCATTTTAATGAGGGAAATAAGTATTTGACCCCCTCTCAATCAGAAAGATTTCTGGCTCCCAGGTGTCTTTTATACAGGTAACGAGCTGAGATTAGGAGCACACTCTTAAAGGGAGTGCTCTTAATCTCAGCTTGTTACCTGTATAAAAGACACCTGTCCACAGAAGCAATCAATCAATCAGATTCCAAACTCTCCACCATGGCCAAGACCAAAGAGCTCTCCAAGGATGTCAGGGACAAGATTGTAGACCTACACAAGGCTGAAATGGGCTACAAGACCATTGCCAAGCAGCTTGGTGAGAAGGTGACAACAGTTGGTGCGATTATTCGCAAATGGAAGAAACACAAGAAGAACTGTCAATCTCCCTCGGCCTGGGGCTCCATGCAAGATCTCACCTTGTGGAGTTGCAATGATCATGAGAACGGTGAGGAATCAGCCCAGAACTACACGGGAAGATCTTGTCAATGATCTCAAGGCAGCTGGGACCATAGTCACCAAGAAAACAATTGGTAACACACTACGCCGTGAAGAACTGAAATCCTGCAGTGCCTGCAAGGTCCCCCTGCTCAAGACAGCATATATACATGCCCGTCTGAAGTTTGCCAATGAACATCTGAATGATTCAGAGGACAACTGGGTGAAAGTGTTGTGGTCAGGTAAGACCAAAATGGAGCTCTTTGGCATCAACTCGCCGTGTTTGGAGGAGGAGGAATGCTGCTGATGACCCCAAGAACACCATCCCCACCGTCAAACATGGAGGTGGAAACATTATGCTTTGGGGGTGTTTTTTTGCTAAGGGGACAGGACAACTTCACCGCATCAAAGGAACGATGGACGGGGCCATGTACCGTCAAATCTTGGGAGAGAACCTCCATTCCTTCAACCAGGGCATTGAAAATGGGTCGTGGATGGGTATTCCAGCATGACAATGACCCAAAATACGGCCAAGGCAACAAAGGAGTGGCTCAAGAAGAAGCACATTAAGGTCCTTGAGTGGCCTAGCCAGTCTCCAGACCTTAATCCCATAGAAAATCTGTGGAAGGAGCTGAAGGTTCGAGCTGCCAAACGTCAGCCTCAAAACCTTAATGACTTGGAGAAGATCTGCAAAGAGGAGTGGGACAAAATCCCTCCTGAGATGTGTGCAAACCTGGTGGCCAACTACAGGAAACGTCTGACCTCTGTGATTGCCAACAAGGGTTTTGCCACCAAGTACTAAGTCATGTTTTGCAGAGGGGTCATTAAAATGCAAATCAATTTATAACATTTTTGACATGCGTTTTTCTGGACTTTCTTGTTGTTATGCTGTCTCTCACTGTTCAAATAAACCTACCATTAAAATTATAGACTGATCATTTCTTTGTCAGTGGGCAAACGTACAAAATCAGCAGGGGATCAAATACTTTTTTCCCTCACTGTATATATGCAACAATGACCTGGGCCAAAACATATAGCACTGTCTATCCAATTGCTGAGGGAGTGAATTCAAGAGAGAGTGGCTCCTAGGCAGTTGACTGGACATATGATAGAGCTGCTGTCTCCTTGTCCATGTCCTTTCATGTGTGGCTCTCAGGCTACGCGATGCGTCATCCTACCCAGCTGCTCAAGTCCAGCTACATCTTCCTCTTTCAGCTGCCGTGGCTTCCCGAGTTTCTCATTCGATACGGTGACTTCCACGTAAGGCCCGGTTCTGCTTTGAACAAAGTCATGGGAGACGTAGCTCTTTTTTTTTTCTAACAGTTGCTGAGCACAGTCAGTCTGGTAGACCGGACCCCCTCGGCATTACTTGCAGGAATCAATGATTGCTGTTGACAGGAAAGGTAACCGTGGGAATAGCGATAGACGAGTGATAATGAGGCGACTGACCATCGGCGAGCAAGTGACTGGAGTGAATCGGTGACTTTTGGATCATCGGTCACCCTGACTGTTGAATTGAGCGCAATGAGGCGGGAACTGGGTACTTCACCCCAGATATGAAAGGAGTGTGTAGCTCTGGTGCAGAGAGACACTTGGCAGCTGCTCTAGAAAGCCTATTAAAGTGGTGATGAACAAGACAAAATTATCAGAATGTCTTTAGCTCATCCAGAAAAGCCTTGCTGGGTCTGAATATTATTTTTGAGCAGGGTGCTGCATTGGGAAAGTATGGAAAATTCAATGCATAAGTGTCTAGCGTGTGGAGGGAGGAAACCGGAGGACCCCAGAGAAAATCCACATGCATGCAGGGGGTAGCACTAAAAGCTCCAAACGGATGATTTGAATCCACTGTCTGAACTGAAATTTCCTGACCCACCTCAGTCCAGGTTTTGGAGTTTCACAAATTTGTGGAATCCACAAACCCTGGGCTTCTCAAGTGTTGCATTTTAGCTATGTGCCAACGTGTGAACTTTAGCTTATACATAGATAAAACATTTATCAATGATATGCGAATAAAATAGCATCAACAATGAAACCCACCAGACTAATGTTTTCAGCAATACGAGTTAAAGTATGCAAACGCTGGATAGATTTTGACTTTTCTGAGTCTCATTAGCAGAGTGTATGGCCTGTTACCGCATTCTGCTGGGTTGCCTGATGTAGGCAGGTGCTCTCTAGAAACAAAGTATGGCCCTTGAGTCCAGTACAGCAAGATTATATATTTTGCTCTGTTGTGGTAGATTTTTGGTACTACCACGGTAGCTAAGCAGACACGGGCCTGTTTAACCACATCCCGTAGCATCTGTTGAACAGGTCCCACTAGTGATGAGACTCAAAACGTTGAAACCAGTCCAGAGTTTTAACACTGAAGCAAGTCTCCTAAGCGGATGGACCTTCACAGATGTTGCGTGAGGCTTTCAATGGGAAGAAGGCCGGCATCAGGAACAAGGAGTGTCGCTTCACCGATGAGGAGATGGAGGCATACCTCTTCACGTTCTCTCAGCCCAGAGCCATCACGGGCCCCATCAACTACTACAGGAACATCTTCAAGTGAGTGGCATTGCTATGATATAGTTGGGCCTTCGGTGGATATACTGTATCCTTGGATACCCCTTCATATGAGATGTTATATCTCAAGACATCCAGATAAAAAAATGCAATTACTTAAGTAATTTTATTTTTGAAACTTATTTTGTCAATTTCAGTATTCCCTTGTTATTCACTAACTTGCCATCCGCGATTTTGGCTATTCGCGAATCGCACCTGGAGCTCTACATAACTGCATCGAGAGAAAGACAGTGATGAGATAAAGTGATGAGGGATAATGCGATGAGATTAAGAGATGTGTTTTGACAATTTTCAAGTATTTAATAGCTTGTTTGTGTATTTATTTAAGGTAATTAATAAAAAAAGATACGTTTTTTGCAGGCCAATATCATTATCCGCGCAGTTTGATATTCATAAGCATCTCCGGAACGTATCCCTCGCGATTAACGAGGAAATACTATATACTGCAATCTTGCAAATAGTCACATCATGAGATAACAACAATTATCTTTCCAAGTTAGCGAGCAGTGCACAACCATGTACCTTGAGAATGGCTCTGGAAGAAGATGTCATAACGATTCATGAGGTTTGTTCAATTGTCTCTTAAACCATAAGAGGTGGTACACCATTACTATGCTCTGCAAAGAGTGTGACGTTTCAATCAAACCAAAATGTTTAGTGTCCATGTTGAGACCATCAACTCCCCTCACTCGACAAGCTCATTTTAATCACTCGGCTGTCCAGATTCAAAACCAGGATCCCATTGCTTTTAATTGACGTTTCAATCAAACCAAAATGTTTAGTGTCCATGTTGAGACCATCAACTCCCCTCACTCGACAAGCTCATTTTAATCACTCGGCTGTCCAGATTCAAAACCAGGATCCCATTGCTTTTAATTGTGGCGTCATCTTTTTTGGCTAACCATCGAACAAAGACGGTCACTTCATCGCGCGCATTTATATTTGCCTCTGCGGCCGTCTGGAACGTTCTTCCTTCCCATATTAGGAGGGAACTATGCACTTTTAAATCTATATTGAAAACTCATTTCAAAGACTTGCTTTTGTGTATCGTTTGTCTTCCCTCACACCTCGGATGAGCACAGTTGGTTATGCACGTTGTGAAATAGTTTCAACATACACATATATACATCTTCATAATTACAGAGCCCTTAGAAATGAATACAAAATATCCATCAGGTGCCAAAGCACCCAACTTACAATTGGTAAACATGCGATTTTGATTCCTCACCAGGGGTCAACTTGACCAAAATCTCAATGAGTTTGCAAAAATTAATACACCTGTTTGAGATTTAAACAGCAGTTATCCTGCGCCGAGAGGATAATCTCAAAGTTATCTTTATCCGGGAAGATCTCTCCCAGTCTAAAGACACTTTTTTCAGATGAGTGCTGGATTGGGATGTTTGGGCAATTCATAAAACGAGCATTAATTACTGCATGAAAAAAACATTTAATGTTCAATTTGTTTTTTCATTTGATGTGGAATATTTTCAGCTCTTAGAGAAAACAACATCTTGTCAAATGTCATAGCTCTATCAGGGCATACGGCAAGATAAATGAACTATAGTGTTTAAGAGGCAATTGATATCATAAGTTGTGTATTGATGTAATGTTACTGAGGCCCTTCTCTAACGTGCGCAATGAACTACTGTCTGCAATAGTTAGAAATTTGTATTTATTGGTTGCGACATGACTCTTAACAGCACAATTAAAATGTAATCGTTAAAAAAAATCAACAAAAAAATGTAAACAGTGCCACGTTGTGCACAATTAATATCTCGTCATCCTGTGCGGGAGGCTGGACCCTGCCACAAGTAATGTGGAATTTCCACCTCTAGTTCTAGGCCACCGGTGGCAATGAGTGGCTCCCCGCTGCTCCTCTGTACAGGGATACGTGTTCGGGTGACGTAGGAAGGCCGCGTTGTATTCTCCACACGCCCCCTCCCCCGCTCTCGCCCAAGCTCTGCTCCGCGACGCCACGTGGAAGTGAAGTCCCCGACGCTGGTCATCTGGGGCGACGCCGATGCCTTCCTGGAGGTGGGCATGACGGAGGGCATGCAGCAGCACATTAGCGCGCCCTTCTCGCTGCGCATCGTGCCAGGCGCCAGCCACTGGGTACAGCAGGACCAGCCCGACGTGGTCAACAAGCTCGTGTGGACCTTCCTCAAGGAGACCGACGACTTTTCATAAGTTGATTGCTCTGCCGCTAAGCCCTCTGCTCAGATGTTAAACGCTCATTAAAGTGGGTGGAGAGCTAAGAAATCGGCAGGCATGTGACGACGCATTGATTCATCGATTGTAATTGATTATCATACGATATGTGAATCGAATCATGCGCGTGACTTTCGATTATCACGATTTATATAAATTAAGTGGAAATAAGATGTAAATGTAATGCTAACAGAGCAGACAAAACTCTGGGAATAAGACTGGAACATTTATACAAAACAGATGGTAAAAACCAGACAAACAAGAATAGATTTTTCTATTGAATTATTTTAAGTCGTGGTAATTCATCGAATCACTGTGGAGGTGCATCATTTCATACATAGTATTGAGCCGGAAAGCATCTGGGATTAATAAAAAAAAATCAAACTTATCAATCAAATAATAGCAGAAATATTTTCACTTATGCAGTTTACTCGTGATGACAGTGGTAAAATACTTTGGGTCTGGGTGCCTGTGTACATTGCTGCCAATTGCAGGCCCTGAAAATCACACGTTTGAATTGAATCCCAGTTTTCTTTGGCTCTTGGTGGTCCAGAAATATCACCTTTGATTAAAAATGTGAGCAGCAAATATTATTTTCCAGTGTTGTGAGTAAAGCCATATGAGCTGCGACTTAACGATTTAAAAAAAAAACACTCTAGGAAAGGTCGCTTGGTGGCTTATGCCAGAGCATTCAACTGGCACTGCCTGAGATCCAAATGGCTGCCTGCGATTAAGCCCGATTCTCATGTGCAGTGAGTTTATGGTCTCGGCTGAATTGCCAATAACTGTACAAAAAAATGCATTAAATTTGGTCTTGCCCTTAAATTGGCTCTGAGAATTGAGTTTACATTATCCTGCAATAAAAAAATGTGCCCCTCGTGTCGATAAAGATGCCTGTTGAGAATTCAGAACAGTTTCTGTGATGTCATCTCCCATGACCCTTCTCCAACACAAAGTGATGCTCTACTCCTGTGACAGTTCTGAATGTAAATGTATATATATAATGAACTAACACTGTTAGCACAATTTGAATATAATTGTATATATGTTTAACTTCTTTTGCACCATACGTAGCCAACCGTGCTAAACGGAGATTACCGTGTACAGCAAAATGCATTTGCTGGACATGGTAATCTATGGTTGCCATACGTGTCAAAGTTGTGATTGAGCCAAGATCGGACTTGAGCCTCGGTCACAGATCTGAGGACAAGCATCGCTCACTCGTGATGCGGTAATTCGCCCGCGAGTGACTGCCTGCCAAACGCTGCCACCAATTGAAGTTGATGCAGGAGGCCACTGGGCAAACCAACTGGTATGGTCACACCATCATCAGGTTTGGGATTAGAGATAGATTTACCGATACAGGCATCGGAACGGTCTTCACGAGTCCGGAAACCAAGTGAAGACCTTCGGCGAGATGGTGGGATACTGCGTTCGGGCAAGTCTTGGAAGTCGCGTGTCTGCAGCGTTCGCGAGGCGTGGCGTCACTTCATGGCTTTGGCCACGATAACACCTTGGCCTTGAGAGATAGCGTGATGGCTACCTATTGGCTGCAGCACTATGTTTCAGAGCAGCAGTCTCACGGTTGGTCCCCACTGTTGGATGACCTGAATCCACCCCCGGCCAAGACTTGAACTTTCACAATCCTTCCAGTTGTGAGTCGAGGGCCGAATATGCCTATCCACGCACTTCTGTGCACTTTGCCATCGTGTAAGGCGGATTAAAAAATGGATGGTTGAAGATATGTGAGAAATTCAATTGACTGGTTTGGCGATCTTGAGTATTGTTAGAGGGCCTATTTGTGAATACTTCTAAACTATAAACTTGTATAGTTTCGAAGTTTTCAACCAGAGCCAGGTTGTGGTGTTTTTTTTTCACTAAAAGCGAATTCGTGCTTTACCAGGATTCCCATCTCACAGCCAATTAGGGTTTATTTTGTGTTAAGATGCTAAAAGTAATTGGCTAAAATCTATTTACAATCTGGTTGTTCAAAGCATGCATAGCTGGGCAGGCGGTGATGCCTATGTGTGTGATTATGCCTCACTCATCGTGTAACTGATTCATTGACATCGGTGCCTATGTCTAGAGGCAGTAGTGATGGTCAATTAGATATGCTATTCTTAGACGTTGGATCAGCCAAACGTCAGTCTCTCGTTTCAGGGTGAACTGTCATGTATCAGTAAACTGATGCTGCTTCACAGAATTGAGCACTTGTAGGCAACTGAAGATAAAAATAACAAAATATATAAATTAGCATTTTTTGTTGATTTACAGTGGCGTATATATATAGAAATTGCTGTGATTTAGGATGGCTGACTAGAGCATGGGTTATTTGCTTTGTTGTTTAATAAATTAGTTCTATAGTGAATAAAATGGATTGAGTGACAGTAGGATTGATAATAATTATGACTTTTAACGAGCCACAGTATTTACTGTTCACAAAAGAGAACAACGCAGAGGCGGAGGGAATCGCGGACAAGCGTAAGGCAGCCACGTGGTGAGCTGATATCGACAGTTGCCCAAGCCCTGCAGTCCTCTGCATTAATATGTTTTCGGCCATTTCACGAGTGTTCGTATGTGGGAGGGAAACTGGAGCAATCTGGAAAAATACCCACACATGCTAGGGGGCAACACTATACCATACAGAAGGGATGGATAATATTAGTCCAAATGTTGCCATACCACCTGGCGAGCCATCTCAACGCTCATGAGAAGGACCTTTTTTAAATATTTGTGCGGTCCACCAACTTTCACACAGCGCTGGATTACAGGCATGCGCCAACCACTGCCCACCTTCAACGAGCTCAATTGAGCAGACTAAATGGAAGATATATGGCTTTAATATTATCAAGAAGGTATACAGTAGTCTGACATGAGTTGTATATGCATGTGTAACACTGATTACGGCCATTAGCTGAAATGTCAACGTTTTTTTTATTTTGAAGTTGTGGTCATTGAACAATTCGATTTATATATTACATACTGTGTAAGCATGTGATTTCATCGATCACTAATTGCAATTTCAAATATTGTTTCCATTGTAATGATTATTAGGGAGGAGTGATTGCATAGTGGTTAGCACGCTGTGATATTAACAAAAGGGCAATAAATGTAATGGTCACTTTTATGCTTTTTTATGCCAATGTGATGGAAATTCGCACCAGGCTACAGATTTTACCTGTCAAGAGTCCTTCTGTACGGTATTTGCCAGGCCCTTTCAGTGCCTATTTTTAACATCAATCTCATGTTACTAGTGCAATAAATGTCCCAGTTGTCTTGTGTTTTACTCTTAGCGTGAACTTTGTTCTGCCTGGCTCGGCTGAGCCTCCGTGGCCGAGCACGGGTTTATCCCTCGTGTGAGATTTGGCTATGCAGCTGTGATGGTCACACCCCCCCCCCGCCCCCCCCCCGCCCCCCCCCCCCCAATTTCAAAGAATCGCCACGATTGATTGCCACGATTCCATTTGTGAATTGGTTCCTGTAACCCTATGGTGTATTTGCCTCAGCGTCCCAAACGGTGCATTACATTTCATCTCAATGATGCCGATGCGCTGCTTTCGTTTGGGATCCGGGATTGGTTCATTTAGCGTTCTGGTGTGGTCCAGGTTTGTGTCCCGGGTGGGGGGGGGGGGGGGGGTGGTCCATGTTGCTTTTTGAGGCATCTCACTTGCAACCCCAAGGAGTCCCAATTCCAAATCGTGAGTCCGAATTCCAACGCCATTGAATTGGAACTCCTGTAACCTAACCAATATGGATGCCCACTAAACGACCTAACCAATATGGACACCTGCTAAACGACCTAACCAACATAGACACCCAATAAACGACCTAGCCAACATGGACACCCGCTAAACGACCTAACCAATATGGACACTCGCTAAACCACCTAACCAACATGGACACCCGCTAAACGACCTAACCAATATGGACACCCGCTAAACGACCAAACCAATATGGACACCCGCTAAACGACCTAACCAATATGGACACCCGCTAAACGACCTAAACACTATGGACACTCGCTAAGCGACCTAACCAACACGGACGCCCGCTAAATAACCTGAAGTGTCACCGTGTGGCCAGGTGATACAGCTGCAGTGACACAGCGCGGTCATGGGAGTTGACACTGTGCGGTGTCTTCACGGCGTAGGTCCGGGATGGGGGGGGGGGTTACTGGGAGGGTCCATGTTGACTTTGGGGAGTTCCAAATCAGGGGTCCCAATTCCACATAGGAGAGTCTGAATTCCAATGCCATTTAATTCGGACTCCCGAAATGCAATAACCTAACCAACATGGACACCCGCTAATTATTTACCCATTAATACAAAAAATATAACGTAATGTTAAAGGCTTCCCTCGAATAAAATGTTAAGGCTCCCATACCATTCATGTTAAAGCCTACTATATATTCATATTCTTAGTTCTTTCGGTGAAGTCACGTGACTTTACCGAAAGAACTAAGAATATGAATTACTGCAGTCACGAAAGCTTTAAATCAAAAGCCTCCTATATAATTAATGTTTAAGGTTCCCATAGACTTTAATGTTAAAAGCTCCCATAGACTTCAATGTTAAAGGCTCCCATAGTATTCAATTATCACACTGATCAGTGCTTACTCTTTGGTTCTATTGGGTAAAGTCACGTACGTGAAAATAAAACAAGTGATTTTTTGTTATTTTATTTTCACCTACGTGACTTTACCCAATAGAACCAAAGAGTATGGATACTAGCAGTCACGAAAGCTTTAAATCTAGAATTGATCAGTGCTTGTTGTTGAAGGCAGGGAGTACAGAATTCGAGAGCAGAGCACTGATGTTCAACAATGGATCGCATTGCCCTGCCCTCTGCTGTCCCACACCACGAACTGGACACATCCCTTCAGCTACACGGCCTTCAGGGAGTACGTAATTTGTCAGGACTGATTTTGACAAGCATTGTCTCATCAGCAGTCAGGCTTGTTTTGGTTCAGCAAACCAAATCAGGACTGGTTTTGACATGTAGTGTCTCATCAGCTGTCAGGCTTTCTTATTTTGGTTCGACAACCAAACTCAGGACCGGTTTTGACCAAGGCCGTAGCCATGGAGTCAACATTGTGGGGACCAAATCTCCCAGGGGGTGTGGAGGTCTCCCCCAGAAAAAAATCTAAGTTTGAAAACTAATTTCCTGCCTAAACTATTAAAAATTTCACTAACACATGGGATGGACTTCTTATTTATTTTTTACAAAAATGTCTAATAGTGTATTGTATTACATTGCTCTGTTTTTACTTTTTTACCTTTTCTTGTTTCATTTTATGTAATGGCAGAGATTAGGGATGAATAAAGTGCAACCATAACCACAATCATATGAACATAAATCTATGCATTGTTATATGAAGACAAGTCCAGATAGTGTGGCCAAGGTTTAGCAAATTGTTTTTATTTACATAGCATCGCAATTTTTATTTTTAAAAATATTTGTATTGCAATATATTGGGGGGGGGGGGGGCGGGGGGGACATTTTGAGCATATTTGAATATTGGGAGGGATGTGTCCCCTCCAAAATATATAATTGCGGCCTTGGTTTTGATATTCAGTGTCTCATCAGTAGGCTTGCTTGAACCGATGCTGGTGAACTTTTAGATGTCTATTGGAAAGGGCCCCTCTATTCGATTTGAAGCGAGTTCTACCCAAACCTGTTTATACCGCATTGTAATACTTAGCACACAAAAATTACCATCTACAAGTTGCCACATTGTGCGTTGTTTTAAAAAATTCGTCGCCGATTTAACGAGGCAACATAATTCCTTGTTAGTGTGCTGCAATTATTTTCTTTTTGAAACGTTGAACAATCCTTAACCTCGGAACGCACACGTGGAGACCGCACTACGTTGCGCCGTTATACCGAAACTCCGCGATGCGCGCACCGCCCAGAATCACTGCGCCCCGTGAGCAGGCCGCGTGTTCCACCACGTCGTCAGTTTCAGTGCTTGCTGCGAGAAAGTTTTAAAAGTTTTAAAACACAGCGCGTGGAGAGATGCGTGCAAAAAAAACCACGCACGGTAAATAACGATAGTGCCTCTGGCAAGTGTAAGGCATGGGGGGGGGGGAAGTATTAGTCGCGAAGTTAAAAGAGGATGTGTTATAAAAGCGTGTTGTAGGTGGTCTCGGGATGCCTGGGTCTTCCCACCGCTGCTCATCAGCGTTATAATGCGGGAAAAGTTCAAAACTGTGCTCAGCATGTGGCACCTTTTGACTGCCTCCAAAGAAACTCGTAGCAGATGTGGGAAGTCTACAGAGTTGTGGCAAGACGTTCGAGTGTCTACATTGAAGATCGACGTCAATGTTGCGTGCATCAAAGGGGGAAAGGGCTGAAGGTTTGTTTGAAGATTTTACGACCACTTGGCAGTGAGAGTTCGATGGAAACTTGAGGAACTCGCCTTGGCTGGCAAGACTGCTGGCTTCCACATTGTGGCGCTGGCCAAAGAGAGGTGGTTGGTGGGTTGGTGGTGGACTCTGCGATGTGGAGGATTCGCACGTGGTGGAGTTGCGTGAGGACCCGGCAATTGTGAAGGGGGCTGATGCGGATGGAACAACAACAACAACGAGCTGATGAAGAGGCCAATAAACCGGTACAGCCACCACGAATGTTAACTCCAAAAAGTGTCAGAGGCTTCAATTCATTTGGAAGCAGCGAATGGGCATCTTCACAGAGACGACCCGAACAGAACACTGCAACGAAAGTTCACAGGACTTTAACCAGTGCCATCCACCACAAACAGGAGCTGTACCAGCCAGCATTAAAAAACAATTACGTCCGGCTATCTTTGGACGGATCGTTTTAAATGTTCTCACAATCGAGCCGTAGGAGAGCTGCCTTCATCTGGCCATCATTCCATCTTCATCGACAGCGCAAGCTCCACCCAACCACCGTCGCCACGGTCGCCACGGTAGACCGGGGGGCGGGAGGGAGGGCCCTCCCGTGCCCTGGCTGGGAGCTCGGTGGCAGACTCCACTCGCCTGCCGCGGAGCGCCCTTGGCACCGGGGCGAACGCCGCCGTCACTCGTTCCCTGCACGCGCAGCCTCGCTCCGCTCCATCCGGCGCTCGGTTCGCCCCGGCCCTCGGTGCACCGCGCGAACGGCAGCCTCTGTCGGGAGCGGCGGTGGCCCTAAAGCGTTCTCGTTTTAATTGGTCTGTTCACTTATTTAACCGGGAGAGCCACAAGAAAGAGAATTACTCTTTCCTTCTCAAATTGGTTCTGCCTCGGGGTTATTAATTTCAGGATGTTTTCAGCCACATTAATGTGGGAGGAAACCGGAGCACCCGTTCGACACTCTATCCCCATACAGATGGAAACAGATGACGATTAGTCCACTGTTAATTATCGGTGAGTGCGAGTCAATGAGCGAGCGACTGTGTTAATAATATAATGGGTGAGTCTTTGTGGGTGAGTAATTGAGCGACTGTATTAATAATAGGTGAGTATAAGTGAGTTAGTAATTGAGTATTCATGGGCGAGTTAAGTGAGTTCATGAGTGTGTGCAAGTTCAAGAGTGTGTGCAAGTGTGCAAGTTCATGAGTGTGTGTGCGAGTTCACAAGCGTGGGTGTTTGTGAGCGAGCGGGGGCCCGCGTTCCGCTGGCAACTGCGTGAGCCCGGCGCGCAGCTCCTCTCTCGGGGCGTTCAACGCAGGCGCCACGTCGGGTCACGCGGGCAGAACGTGCACCCGCACCGTGAGGCCATCCCCGCGGTCCACCGTCACCACGGCCCGGCCCTCGGGCCCCACGGCGCTCATCACCGCCACCGGCACCGGCGGCGGCGAAGGCGGTGACGACAGTGGCCGCTGAGACGGCGGCTGTGGTGCCGGCGGGGAGCGGGGACCCATGAGGAGTGTGAGTGCGGTCGCCAGGGCCGTGACGAACGCCAAGGCCAGGAGGGCCACCGTGCACAGCGCGTAGCTGCAGCGGGACACGGGGGGGCGGGGGGAGGGTGGGGTGGCCGCTCGAGCCACGGAGTCGGCGGCATGAGGAAGCGGGACGGGCGGACGGAGCGCCGAGTCAATCCTGGCGTAGCATGCCGTGCCGTCGGCAACCAAAGGGGGGGGGGGGAGGGAAATTTCCGAGACCAAGGATGGTGTCCATCTGGCCATATGTTTCACTCGAGGCATCCAGGGTCCACGTTTCAGTCTCCTACACCGTCTGGCTTTAGGGCTGCTGACCTCTGGGTGCCACTCTCCTGGGCGGCCCTCTCCGTAACCTGGACTCCCACATTCAGCACACCAGTCCCACCCATCGCAACCTCC